CCGAGCTGAAATCGCGATGGCGACACGCGTTCGGAACGGTGCCCGTTGTTCGGCCAATTATGTGCCGTCACCGGATCGACGCGCGCTAAACGAAAAACGGATCTCGTCGCGCGCGGCACTGTTCTCGTCGCGTTTCTGTAGTCGCGGTTGTCGGACGCAAGACTGTTGCCAAGACATGCAACGCAGACATTTTGACAAATCCACAATCCGGATTTAAAAAGACGAACAGTTCGGAAACGAAAAATCCGCTTAATCCGGATATTAAACGCGACCGTGATGATTGAACCGTTGGAATTTTCGATGAATCAGTCGAGGAGAAAATTCAATAAAATATGAAACAATTACCGAATAATTTTCCAAATTGTAAACACGTTTTACCATTGTCACGATGGTCGAACGGAACGACAACGCGACTCTTGTGGTTTTGTACGATAGGTAGCATCGGTCTATGATTGATAATTGCAATTCGGTGATCGAACTCTAAGGCAGAGTTACGTGACAAAGACGATTTAAACTTTTAAAGTTGCCTGTGCTTTGATCCTTTTGGAGTTGTTGTTTGTTGTGCAACGTCTATTGTAATTTGCTAAGCGATTTACTTGCTAAGTTTGCGAAAAGCGAAATGCATATTATACAATTTTTATTTTTCATTCTATAGAACGGTATCAATTTGAAATATTGTGATCGGTCGCCTTCACTATAACATTACTAGGTTACTACTTCAGTGTGATTCTGACATCGTTCAAGTGCATAACATTGTAAGATACACACAATGATGAAGCATAAAAATCGATTTGTCGGCGAGTCCAGTACGCGAAAAAAAATACTATTACACATCAATTATTTTTAAGATCCGTTGTGTATTTCAGTACATAAATAGTTACTTAACACTTAAGAACTACCGATCGGCAATGTTTAAAATGAACTTCCCGCCGTTGTCGGGTTTTTTCGTAAATAAAATCAATAAACGTATCTATCGAGGATCCGAATGACGATCCATCGATTCGACCCGGGACAGGTGCCGGCCCGTGTAATGCCCTCCGTCAAGTCCGCGCCGCCATCGCCGATTTCCTTTGATCCCTAGCCGTGCTGGCCAGAGACACGGGCTGTCCGCGCGCGAATATAAGTATCACGGCGATTTAAAGTGAACGCGTTCATATTTCAGCCAAACCACGAGGCAAAACTCGATGTAATGATCAGAAATTGACTATTTATTATTATTATTTCGGTATCCGGCAGTTTTAAACTACCGATTCTTCTCGCGGTCGAGTCCGGTAGACAATACGACTCTACGGTTTATTCGCGATTCTCGTTCGCTGGTACATCGCGCACCCGTTGAATGCGCCCGGGCGCGCCGCTGGCTCGAGTGCGAACCTCAGCGTGTCGGTGTTACAGAATACGCACGCGATTATTACGGCGAGCGGCAAAAACCGGGAAATTTCACCGATTCAAATGCGAACGCGACCCGATCGCGTGATAATAACGAGCGTGCGCGATGATGACCTTCACGCGAATATCGTAATAAATTATCGCGAAACGCGTTGCGATCGTTTTTCTTTTCGCGCCGCGGTCGTTCTTTATTCACGTCGTCGCGAGTTCGACAACACGCGTCGATCGCGTATTTCGTTAACGGGGATTTTTTTTTTTTTTTTTTTTTCCGTTCTCATTTTGTATAAAATGGGTTTTTTTTTTCCTTCTAATTATTACAGTAAACGACCGTTTATCCCGGCCCGACGATTGTTGTTGTTCAGCTGCAGCCGCCGCCGCCGTTCGCGCGCACCGCGAAATCTCGTACAATGACATTTTTGTCTAGAAAACGTGTACGGTTTATCGTCGTGTTTTGTGTTACGCAACGTCATGACCGTTAATCGGTATTAATGCGATATATCAACACCGCCGCCTATATTTTGTAAACAACATAATTTCTGTGTACACCTGCCGCAGCGGTGACTGTTTGAGGCCGGGCCGGACAAAGACGGGAACACTCAAAACGGCCGCCGCCGTCTGTACGCACAGATCCCGGCGGAAAGTCGAAAACGGAGAAAAAAAAAAAAAAAAAAAAAAAATCGCCAGACAAATCGGTCGGGATACCGTTGAAGGCGGGCGTTCCGCGAGAGGGTGGAAATCGTACGATTGTTTTGACTAATTTAAGACGTTTCCCCCCTCCCTCCCCCCGAAAAGAACTCGGGAAACAAAAAAAAAAAAAACCGAACCAATGCTGTCCTAAGATAATGGGACGGGTGCGGCCACCGTTTTCAGGTGAGAAGTTCGGAAGGTAGTTGGAAGGGAAATTTAATGTATAGCTGTAAGCAACGATAAACCGCCGCTCGCGAAAAAACGATTTTGAGCGGAGTCCGGTCGATAATGATGCTTGGTCAACAGTATGCACGTCATATTACGGTAAAATAATTACATAGGCATTATTGCCTATGCAATATTGTACCTATTTTCCTGTTTTTTTTTTTTTTTATTTCATTTATTGGCAACATTTCTGAGAAAATCAAAAAATGAGCTCCTTAAAGTACCGCCACAGTAAGATTTCTTTCAGAAAAAGTGCTACTCTTGTAAATCGGAGCAAAATCGATGAAAGTTGTCCGCAGAAAAAATAAACATCATTTTAAAACCAATACATTCGGACACTAGTGACCGACCTAATTTTCCTGGGGTGCCTTGTTGTTTTCTAAAACTTTGTCGAACGTACTCTCGGAATCATATTGCTCTTAGATTTTATTAATTTTGCCGCAGTTTAATTATTTCAATAGTTAATCTTTGATGTGTGGCCCGTTAGTCGAACTAAGACAGCCAATGTGGGCACCATGTTAAAGGATGCGTGTAACGCGATGGTTAGGCGATATTTTGTCGGGCGCGTATTAGCTGCCTCCGGGTGTATACAAGTGGCCTCCCGGCGTACCCTAAACTTTATCGAAAACCAAAAGGGTCTACTACTAGTCGCCTCCCAATAGGCAGATAATGAATGAACCAGATGATTAATTTACGCGGGTACACTCATTATCCCGAAAAGTATTAACTTTTTCCGGAATTTGTTTTCTAAAACATTTAAGAAACAAGCTGCTCCACAATTTCATATTTGTGTTATTTTTTCGTCACCCTTATTTACCTTTTTGTCACCTAACATATCAATTTGAGTGTTGACATTTCTGATTTGTGTCAGGCCGTTGACGAGATATTCTACTTTTAAGTTTTGGTTGGAGGAAAGTAGTGGTGCATTATTAACACGCCGCGCGCCGTACCGCCACGCTAATGATATTCCACTACTCTCCTCCAACCCATACTTAAAAGTGGAACATCTGGTCAACGGATCGACAAAAATCAAAAATGTCAACACTCAAATTTATTTTGACTTGTGGAGCAGATTGTTTCTTAAGTGTTCTAGAAACAAATTAAGTAAAAAGTTAATACTTTCCGAGATAATGAGTGATACTACGTAAATGAATCACCTGGTATAAGTGGAATATAAACGATTCAAACATTTTCAAACAGTATACATAAATATGTAGATTTGTTCGGATTTTTTATCATGAAGTAATATCATGTTGGTTGTTACTTATCAATAACCTATCAGCCAGCATTGGATTTTAGATTTGTACATTCAACAAAATCGTAATTTATGACTTTTGTGCATTGATAAGATTGTACGACTAATATTAAACATTGCATCTCTTGTGTAAAGCTTACTGTCGTTGGCTAAGTTTTAACACTCGTCGTACGATTTTTTTTACAAAAATAGTTCTTAAGTGATTTTAAATTTTCTAATAGGTTTTGAAAACGGATCAAATTTAAATGCGGGAAATTATCAGTGAAAAGAGTAAACATGTTAAAATAATTAATAGTTTTAAATTTAGTTTTCAAAAAAAAATTAGTCAACAACAAAGAGCCGTGGAATTGTACGACAAAAATATGCAAAGCTTTTTTTAAAATTAGATGAAAGTGATTCAGTAATATTGAACGAAAATAAGTTGAACCACAATAGACATTATCTGAGCATGTTCATGTACATGTTTTTTTATTGACCAATTATGTTATTATTTTTAATAAAATTATAATTATTATATTAAATTCAGTTTAGTTCATGAGCCACTGTTCTATTCATAACGGGTGACGACTAGTGCGAACGTTTTTGGGAGGCAAAACGTATATAACTATGAAGTACCTAATTGTCGGAGGCGACTAGTGTATGAGTTAACCTTTTTTTTTACCAAAAGGATAGGACATTTTGGAAGGCAACTGGTATGCATCGATTTTGTCCGTGCTCAGAACGTAAGAATATGTATTATAAAAGCTCTTCCTGGAAATCCCTGACGATATTGTCTCCGATTATCATTTACCGCGCGCCGCCATAAAGGTGGTCGAGAACAACTACGATGGCTTTTTCACCGTTCGCAATAATATATTCCCGATTACTTAGTATTTGATGACAAACGCGTCGGAGATTCGCCGCAAACGCCACTAACGACGTTTCGCATTTATTATTGGTACGGTGTCGCTTTACTGACGCCATCGCGAAACAAACAACAACAACAACACGCATATTACTTTGCGTTTGGCGAACGCGAACATCGTCTAAACGGCGATCTCGATAAAAATACGATACACGCCGACGATCGTTAACCACGCGCGTGTAACACGCGGTACGTGCGCTATCGCGGTCGGTGATCGTTTCGGCGCATTGCGACGGCAGCGGAACAGGAAGTGATCGTCGTCGGCCGCTCTTCTCTCGCGCCCGGCAATTAGCTGCGCGGACGGACCGTCGCGCGTCGGCTTGTCTTCGTTGCGCAACGCGAGCAACAACTCGCCGAGTGCTATTTAGGACCGTCGATCCTGTGCCGTCGCGGCGGCGGCGGCGGTGTCCAGAACCGCGGTGTCGTCGGAACGCCACCCGCCGGAAAAAGTGAAAGCCCGCGGGCCGCCGCGTAAAGGCGGGAGACGTTCAGCGGACCGGGCTCGGGTATAAATAATCAAGTCAAAAGCACGGAGACGGCACACTCGCAGTTTCCGTCGGCCGGGTCTCATATCGCTATCTAATAATAAAACGGGTGTACAATATTAATTACATTTACCACCGTAACGCGTCCCGAATACCGTAGCCCGCCACGATACAAGAAATTTCGCCGTGACACGATGGCGACCGCCGTGCAGGTCGCGTTGACGTCGCGCTCGTCCATGTTACTGGTGTTGTTGTGCGCGACCTGTTGTCCGTCGTGGGCAGCCGAGTCGGCCGCGGCTTCCGGTCGTTCGAATCACCAGAAACGCAGCGGCTCCGACGGCTCGGTATTCTCGTATGGCCACGGTTTCCAACAACACTCGTACGGCGGCAGCGGCCAACAGCTGCAAAAGCAATACCCGTCGTTTCAGTCGTCCGCAGAACACGGCGACGACGACTATGACGGCGGCAGCAGCCATCAGCAGCAACAGTACCCGTCGTTCAAGTCGTCCGCAGAGCACGGCGGCAACTACCAGGAACAGTACCCGTCGTTCAAGTCGTCCGCAGAGCACGGCGGCAACTACCAGGAACAGTATCCGTCGTTCAAGTCGTCCGCAGAGCTCGGCGGAACCTATCAGGTACAGTACCCGTCATCTCTGTCATCCGCGGAACACAGTGGCGGCGGTAGCAGTGGCTATCAGCCGCAATACTCGTCGTTCCAGTCCGAACACGGCGACAGCGGTAGTCTAAAACTGCCGGAATATTATAGCGGCGGCGGCCAAAAGACGTCGGGATATTATGGAAACGGCGAGGGGCACTTGCAGCATCAGTACAGTCATCACGATGAACCCAAAGTGTCAGTGATCGAGAAGAAGGTACCAGTGCCTGTGCACGTACAAGTCGAAAAGCCCGTACACTACGTCGTCCAGGTTCCAGTAGATAAGCCACGTGCCGTACACATACCTAAACCGTACCCGGTCAAGGTGGAGAAGCCGGTCCCGTACCCGGTCAAAGTGTACGAGCCGCAGCCGTACCCGGTGGAGAAGAAGGTGCCCGTGGCCGTCAAGGTGCCGTACGACCGGCCCGTACCCGTGCACGTCGACAAACCGTATCCCGTGTACAAGGAGAAGGTAGTCCGGTATCCCGTGTACAAGCATGTGCGCGTCCCGGTGAAGGTGCCGTACGACAGGCCGGTACCCGTCCACGTGCCCGTCGTCAAGAAGATTCCGTTCCCGTTCGACAAGCCTATCCCCGTACCAGTCAAGGTGCCGTACGACAGGCCCGTGCCGTACAACGTGTACAAGAACGTGCCCGTGCCCTACGAGAAGCCTGTCCCGTACCCGGTAGAGAAAAAAGTACCGTACCCGGTCCGTGTCCCTGTTCACGTACCCGTCCACGTGCCGGTCAAGGTCGAACATCACCACCACAAAGAGCCAGAAAAGTTCACTCAACATGACGCCATAGTAGGTTACGGCGGCGGGCACAACAATTACCAACAACAAAACGATGACGCCGCGTTCGTGTACGATCATCACGACCAACAACAGTACTCCGACGGCGGCCAACACGGCCTGCAACAACAGTACGCCGACAGCCATTTCCATAAGCGGCAGTACTCAGGCGCCGCTGATCATAACCAGAAACACGGCCGTTCGTACTGATCACGCCGGCTTTACGTTGAAACTACTTGATTGTACTTTGATTTGTTGATGTATTATTAATTTTTTTTAAATAATTTTTTAAGTAATACGCTTGTGATATTACAATACCTATATTTATATGTTATAACGGTGTAAATATTATGAATAAATTTTACGTCGAATATAAATAGTCATACGCTCGAAAAACGGATGTTCGTCTTCATTTATAGAATTATGGGCTCGCGCGCGCAGAACAAAACGGAAGAGCGCGTTCAACGGACGACTGTAAAATACACGCGAATTTCGCCGAGAATAGCAGTTGGCGGGTTAATTTATGTGCGCTGCACCCAGAACAGTTTTCGATTAAAAATTAGGCTATTAATATTACCAGGATTATCAGTGAAACAAGTGAACAAATACCGACATACTTTCGGTAAATGTTATTAGCGAGAAGTTGAAGAAGATAGGATATAGAGGGAAATTTGATATTCATGTCTGTACGGAACGATAAACTAAACGCTGGGTGACAAAAAACGATTCGGAGCGAAGTTTATTTTATACGTGCGTACCTTTTCCAGATAAAAAAAAAAAAAATCGTTGTGAAATCAATAGATTTTTGGGTACGCTCCGAATCTAAAATGTTAATCATAATAACCATTTAATGAAGTTAAAGCGAAGTTCGGTTAAACATAGTGTTTTGAAAGTCCGTAATATTTACGGTTTTCGTCAAAATTTGATATAAAAACTCTTATAAAAAAAAAAAAAAAAAAAAAATACTAATTTACACACAACTTTTTTGTTCACCATTAAGTACAACTTGTAATGAACCTCTTGATCAACTTTGAAGCATTTTTGTTTAGTTTAATAATTTTATCCACAGAGTACCTGCCGAATAAATATAATGTAAGAAAGTATAAGAAAATATAAGACCTTTCAAAACATGTATAACCGCGAACTCCCCTCAGAATCGTCTTTCGTTAGCAAAGATTAATCATTGCACACTGATATTCATTAATTTCCCCTCTATATATCCTACCTTCCGAACTTATCACCTACAACAGTGGCATACCCATCGTGTGAAGTTTGTCCGTCTTTTTTGCCATTTTAGATTCTGAGTGAAGCTGGAAATGTATTGGTGTTACAATGATGTTTATTTTTTTTCTAAAGGGAACACTTTTTCTAGCAAAAAGATTACTCCAATTATCAAGTATAGCGCCTTTTCGGAAAGACAATGTTCTATGCGTGGTAGTTTAGAGTGGTCATTTTTTAAAATTCTCATTAGGTAATCGAGATAATGAGAAAAACACGGTTCTATAGATTAAAATAGATTGAAAGATTAAAAACCGGTTAATGACAACCGTTTTTATTTACCTATTTATTTTTTGTTATTGTTAAGTTTTTATTATTATAAAAAAAAAATAAGCATAATATGAAAAATAAAATATTCAATAATTTAATCAAATATTTTCTTTTTCCTAAGTTTGAAAAACAACACGGTCCAATATTCGTTCAATATAAAAGGAACGCGTTCGTTTCAAATACTGCATAGACATACATAATACTTATAATAATGGCAATCGTGTCATATTAGTAATTAAAATCGTTAAAAATAAGCATCAATAATAAAGATCATTTTAATAATATTTATCGACAATAATTATAATAATCGTCATCAATCGGTAATGATAATAATGATAATACGAATCAACAAAATAATAAAGAGCATTTTAAAAATAATTAGCATATTTGAATAATTATAACAATAATACAATAAAAATCATTGTCATACTAATGATTAGAGCACGGATATTGTAGTGGTAAAAAACGATTGGAATCGATTGCAGTATTGCGCTAAAAATATTAAAAATTGCACTAAAAACGAACAGGTTTTTTTACAAAAATGGAAATAGTCGGCTTAATTTTCGGCATATTTACAAAACGATAACAGAACAAAATCACTCAAAATTCACAGAGTGATTGAAGAACACATTATAACAAACAGTCACATTTCATAAATTATTTTTGTATTGTATTGAATACCTACCAATCGGAATTATCAAAATAAAAATATGATACCATTATTAGATTTTATGATTGGCAATATTTTAGTATAAACTTATCTATACGATTGTCGACTATAGCTAAAATAGTTATGTCAATGAGTAAATTCAACAAGATTGCAATAAAATTGAATAAATTGCAAAAATCGCAAAACGTTGCGATTAAAACTTCTAGATTTGAATTCGTACTTACACGAAACGTATTTAAAACTTACTTAGCAATAAATTGAAAAGGTAGGAAAAAAAGTTACAAATGCAACAATATCCGTGACCCACTAATGATCAATAATAATAATAATAATAAACAGCACTTTAATAAGAACAATCATCAATAATAATAATTACCAAATTTACATAGTAAATCAATTAGTGAATTTTTTTTTTTTTTAAATTAAGAACATAAAAATTATCTTGGACTACATTAAGTGTATATAAAAGAAAAACAAAATTATGCCTAAAGGAACAAGAAACGGGAACAAATTCCTTTTTTGCAGCAGTGACAAGGAACGGGAACATATTTCTTTTTAAAAGGAACTTTTTCACCCTTATTTTAGATTCCGAGTTGAGCGACGAAGATTATGGTATTACAATAATGTTTATTATCTGTGAACAACTTTTCTACCACAAGTCTTGCTCCGTTTTATGAGTGTAGCGCTTTTTCTGAAAGGAAATATATACTGCATATGTACCGGGTGGTCGTGATCCATTTAAGTGGATACACTCATTAACTCAGAAAGTATTCATTTTTTCCGGAATTCGTTTTCTAGAACGTTTTAGAAACAAGCTGCTCTACAATTTTAATATTTATATTTTTTTTTTTTTTTGTTACCCATAATTTTGGGAGATTTTCAAATGGCAACCTATGTATTGAAACTTCATCTATTTATGGAATTTTTAATATAGGTAGCCATTTAAAAATCAAAAGTGGATAATCTTAGTAGGTGGTCTTCCCCCAAAAATGATGAAAATGGATCACCCAACACATAAAAATATTTTAAAATCACTCGGCCAAGCACATTATGGAAAATTGCCCAAATGCAATGCAATTTTTAAAACCTCGCCAAACGCAAATCGCTCAACTAACCTAGTCAACACTAGGTAAGTAAATAATGATAGTATTTCTATTTCTGAAAAATGATTCCTCCTTCCCATTATGTAATTCAAAAATTAAATCGTAAACCTTGAGAAAATGTCATTTTGACGATTTATATTTTCCGTTTTTGTACTTAATCTTGAACTTTTAGTAAATTTATATTCTTTTTAGATTCCGAGCGTAGTGAGAGAGTTAGTGGTTTTACTAAGATGTTTATTTTTTCTTCTTCTTCTTCTAGCCTGTGGACACGTTCTTTCTAGTAAACTGGCTTCGATTTTTACGTGTATGAACGTTTCTAAAAGCTCAAGTTGTTTATATTGTACTTTGAAAAAATCATTTTTTGATTTTCGACGCTATTTTTTAAATAAAAGCACTTAAGTGGGAAAAAACGTAGAAGAACGTATAATTTCACGATTTTATTATTTTATATAAACACGGACGACGTTTTCTACCAGAAAAAATGGTTTAATCGAAAAATTCATAAGATAACATTTTTGTTGCCTTTTTGATTTACTTTTTAACGGTATTATTGTCAAAACTTTTGAGTCACTTTTGAGCTTTTAAGGAATTTTAAATTTCGGTTCTTTTATGTTATTCGGTTATAAATACATATAGAGGCTTGAAACTTAGTAATAATACTTATACTGGACTTACATAGTTGTGGTAAAATGTTCAAAATCATCGGACAACTTTTTTTTTTTAATATGCGATTTGAAATCAAATTTAAACGAAGATTGCAAATTAATTTATGATACTTCAAATTATGTATTACCGAAATGCACTCGGAATCGTTTTTCGTTAAGCAATGGTTTATCGTTGCTTACAGATATAAATTGAATTATCTTATGCATTCTACCTTCCCGACTTCTCACCTACAACAGTGGCCGCTCCCAACCTCAGCATTAGCTCATTTTTATTTAATTTTTTTGTCTGAAAACCACTTTTTGAATAAAAAAATTGCTCTGGTGTATTAAGTGTAGCACTTTATTTGAAATTAAATGTTACAAAGTTGGTGTATTAAAGAGGTCGTTTTTTTTTGATTTTCCAAGAAGAATTCAAAATAATTGAGAAAAACACGAAAAACGAAAACTGATCAATTTTTACGGTTTTTGTTTTCTACCAGAAATATAACTCCAACAAAAAAAATGACATCGAATCTTTTTTGTTGCGTTTTTAATTAAGCCTGGGAATAAGAAAGTCATTTTTCGATTTTTTTTTTCCTCGATAAGAGTTTAATATCAACTTTTGACGAAAATCTTAAATATTATGGGCTTTCAAAATATGTTTAACTGAACTTCGCATCAAATCGTTTTTCCTTAGTAATGGTTTATTCTTAATTACAGATATAAATTAAATAACTTTATATGAATCTTACCTTCTCGATTCTCCATCTATAACTCCGTCCCCAGTATCAGCTTGTTTTTATTTTATTTTTTTTTTTGAACCAATAATATCCAAATTATGACATTTGATCAATTTAATTTCATCAATTGAAATGTCTGGTCTAAATGCGAATTTTCATATTCTTTAATAGATGGGTACTTGCTGACGTTTACATTCGTTTTATTATGACTAACAGCCGCGGATACATGTTTTTATTCTCAAGTGTTCGATATTTTCTAAAAAAATTATTTTTGTAGATTTATTATACACCTACAAGTTACGTTAACATGCATTGTGATACACGAATATATATCATAACATATCGAACAAAAATCGTAAACGTAAATGTTCAAACGTTGCTAAACAATCTCTACTCGGACTGTATTGTCGAGACGCATTGTTATTAAATTTTGTTAGAAAGAATTTCACTAGTTGAAGTTTGTAGTGCTAAGTTCTTACCAATGTTAGTTGAGAAAAAAATTCTAAGTTTTGCAACCAAAACCGTACCTATACAATGTAGCCAACCGTTATGTTCGACATTGTTAGACAACTTAACTAACAAAAAAATTGTGTAAAATATTATAAAGTTCTGCTGAGTTTGTTTTGCCGGTTTCCAATAAAGTTGATGATTTTTATTGCCTTTGTTCTATAGAAACGGATACGTTTCTTCACTTTCCTGCAGCGTGTATTATATCGACGGACGGTCCGGACGAATACGCCACTTGGGAAACAGGAAGCAGCGTTGAACAAGTGAAAGCCCTCTCATCGGCCGGGCGGCGAGACAAAAGCGGGGGTGGGAGGTGGCCAGCAGAGCCAGACCCGAGTATAAATAATCAAGTCAAAAGTACGGAGACGGCACACACACAAACCGCTTTCGTTCACACAGTGTGAATTATACGGTGCAGTACGATTTAATAACATTCGCAATGTTATTACTGTCGCGATACTCGTTGTTGTTGTGCGTGGTCTGTTGCCCGTCATGGGCCGTTACGTCGCAAAGCAATTTGCAAAAACGCGGCGGTGCCGACGGTTCGGGAATGTCGTTCGGCTACGGTTTTCATCTGAAACACGACGGCGGCGCCGGACATCAACAGGAGCAGTACGCGTCGTTCCGGTCGGGGCATGGCAACGTTGGCGGTCATCAGAAGCAACAGCAACAGCAACACCTGTCATTCCAGTCAACACACGACGATGACGGTCACAAAGAACAGAAGTCGCAGCAGCAGTATCCGTCATTCCAGTCAGAACACGGCGATCACGGTCATAAAGAACAGAAGTCGCAGCAGCAGTATCCGTCATTCCAGTCAGAACACGGCGATGGTGATCATAAACAACAGCAGTACCCGACGTCGTTCCAGTACGTGCAATACGCTAGTGGTGAGCACAATCAACAGCAACAGCAGCACCCGTCGTTCCAGTCGGAACACGGCAACGGCGATTATCAACAGCCACAGAAGTACCCGTCGTTCCAGTCGGAACACGGCAACGGCGATTATCAACAGCCAAAGAAGTACCCGTCGTTCCAGACGGAACACAGTGATGACAGTCATCAGCAACAGCAGCAATACCAATCTTTCCAGACGGAACATAGCGACGACAGTCATCATCATCAGCCGCAACAGCAACATCAATCTTTCCAGACGGAGCACAGCAACGACAGTCAACAACAGCAGCAGCAGTACCCGTCGTTCCAGACGGAACACAGCGACGACAGTCATCAACAGCAGCAGCAACACCAAGCGTTTCAGTTAGAACAAAGCGACGATCAATATCAGTACAAGTCGTTACAGTCGGAACACGGCGGCGGACAACAACAACAGCACTTGCAGCAGTACCATCACGATGAACCCAAAATTTCGGTGATCGAGAAAAAGATACCAGTGCCGGTGCACGTCGAGGTCGAGAAGCCCGTGCATTACGTGGTCCAGGTGCCGGTGGATAAACCACGCGCAGTACACATTCCTCAACCGTACCCGGTCAAGGTGGAGAAGCCGGTCCCGTACCCGGTCAAAGTGTACGAGCCGCAGCCGTACCCGGTGGAGAAGAAGGTGCCCGTGGCCGTCAAGGTGCCGTACGACCGGCCCGTACCCGTGCACGTCGACAAACCGTACCCCGTATACAAAGATAAAGTGGTCCCGTATCCCGTGTACAAGCATGTGCGCGTCCCGGTGAAGGTGCCGTACGACAGGCCGGTACCCGTTCACGTGCCCGTCGTCAAGAAGATTCCGTTCCCGGTCGACAAGCCTATCCCCGTACCAGTCAAGGTGCCGTACGACAGGCCCGTGCCGTACAACGTGTACAAGAACGTACCCGTGCCCTACGAGAAGCCTGTCCCGTACCCGGTAGAGAAAAAAGTACCGTACCCGGTCCGAGTCCCTGTTCACGTACCAGTCCACGTGCCGGTCAAGGTCGAACATCACCACCACAAAGAGCCAGAAAAGTTCACTCACCATGACGCCATAGTAGGTTACGGCGGCGGACATAACGATTACAAGCAAATCGAAGACACCAGCTTCGTGAACGGCCATCACGGCCAATCGCAGTACTCTGAAGTCGGCCAACACGGCCAGCAACAGTACCCCGAAATCGACCATCATCATCAACAAGAACATTTCGGCGGCTCGGATGTTAACCAACAACACGAGCATTCGTACTGACAGCGATGTCTTTTCGTACAGAAATAACACTTATCTTATTTGTTTTGTTTTGTTTTTACTTTTTTATGCTCGTGTGATATTAATATATTAGGCATATTATTACTATTAATACGTTTAATTAATATTTATAAAATCAGTCATAGTTTAAAAATATTTGTGATTTTATTTCGTTAATATGAGAATAAAATTGTTTTTGTAATTTGATAAGCCATGTATGAGTGATTATTAATAAGCCACTATTGAGTGACATAAATTACCACAAAAACCGCAGATAGCGTAGGATGGCCGTAGAATGGGAAAACGCGATTAAAAAAAAATATAATAATATTACTAATTTCTCATTCCTTAATGTTTTTAAGACGTTGTAATTCAAACTATAAGTATTGGTAAACATATAATGTATTCATGGTTTAGTTTTTAGTTTTTTTTTTCAATAAGCGTAGATAGATTTAATACAACGAAAATTCATGAGATGGGTATAGGTGCCAACTCCGCTTGTAAGTAGTAATATTTGTTAAAGTTTTAAATTTCCAAATCATAAATCGAAATCGCGACATTTCACGTACTATTTCTCGAAAATTTAACACGACGTTTATACGTAGAGGTAAAAACAAAAAAAAATTTGATATTTATGAAGTGATTTTTTTTTTTTTTATTAACGTCCATATATAATATTAGTCCATAGTATAGACTCTACGGCACTCCGACTTACGGATGACGGATGTATCGTTTACAAATTAAATTAATATCCACATATTCTACCTTCCCGCCGACCACAGTGACACTCCAATCAATAGTATCAGTTGTTTTTTTTTTTTTTGGTAAACATTGTTATCGGACGTTGTAAAATAACTAAATACCCTATTAGCAAAAACATTTTTTTGAACAATAATTTAATAGTATTGTATTACATAAAAATAAAACGAATAAAACGGTTTGAACAGATTTTCCGAGTGTTTAACGTTAGAAATATGTCATTACTTACGATTTGCATTGCAACCTTTGCTTCGCATTGCGCCTTTTTGGATGAATTCTCTGCATGGGCGGATAGGCCTACCGGGAGGGCGGGAATTTACCATTGGACACCCCGACGAAGCCCTTGGTAGTGATGGGCAAGGCTGAATGGAAACTATCGAACTGTTTGTTTATCCGCGATGGATCCAGGTATGTTGGACCATGTATAAGGTCGATAAGCAAAAGAAGAAAAAAAAAGTTATCGGTATTTTTTTCATACAGCGGCCTTTCTTAAAATTTCCCGGCCAGCCAAAAATGGCCTACTCGCTCATGCTTCTCGGGACACTGACGACGCGATGACCAAGGTCTCTACCAAGGTCAAATCAGAATTACACACGGGAGGGGGGAAGTTGGAACAAAAATATATAAACACCGTGCATCCTATAGACAAATATTATATTAATTAATTAAGGGGGTAGAAAATATAAATAATGTTGTACCATACAATAACAACAAAACACGACGACTTGTCCGTAATATTGTAAATAGGTTTTTATATAATCGTTAAAAAAATTAAATGATAAAAATAATAAGCTGTATAAATGTAACATGATTATGTTTCACGATTTTTCGGGAAACCCTGCTTATCAAATTTAACACTTAAATTATGGTGTTTTATGGCGAAATCTTAATGAACCGCGTATCGGTTCCCAAATGTAAATAACCCGCAAACTCCGTACATCCTTTGTCGGATTGCTGTAACAATACCACGTCCACGTACGAAGTCAACCGGGAAATCAATGCCGCCCTGAACGAGTTGGGCGCGTCAGCCCACGCCGTCGTCATGGCCCGTTCGGCCGTCTCCAGTTTTTCCCTGTCCGTCAACCGTTGCAGGCCGTCGCCCCCGTTCACCCTCAACTCGAGTATATACATGGCTTTGGCGATTAGCGGGTTCTCCGAGTCACACAGGAAGTGCAGATCGTTGGCCAACGACCACGGTAAGTCTTGCAAGTTTTCCAACACAAGCACTTTGTTTTCCGTTAACGGATCGATCAACTATAGAGAAACAACAATCCCGTACAATAAGACAGTGCTTACACGAAAGACGAATAAAAAAAAAGAAAACTTGCCGAGGATAATTTGGACGGGTGCAGCCGCTGTTGTAGGTGGAAAAATCGGGAATAGGATAAAGACGGAAATTTAATGTAAACCTGTAAGCAACGATTAACCATTGCTAACGAATAAACGATTCTGAGCGGAGTTCGGTAGATAGTGTTGCCATAATTATGGTGAAATAGTTGCATTTGCATAAAAACATTTTCTTTAATAATATTTGTTTAATATTGTATCTATCTATTTTCGTTTTTCCCCGTTTTTTTCTCGTTTTTTCCCATTTATTGGGAAATCAAAAAATGACCTCCCCAGTTAGATTTCCCTTCTGAAAAAGTGCTACTTATAAATCGAAAAAAGATTTTTGGTAGAAAAGTTGTTTATGGATAAAAACAAAGCCATCATTGTAAAATCAATACATTGTCCTCACACCACTCAGAATCTAAAAGGACAGTGAATCAAAACTAGAAAAACAGAAATTCAGAAGAACATATTTTGGAAAAGCGAAATGCCGAAAAGTTACATTTGTAAAAATATAGAATACACTCAAAGTCGAACAGTGAAATTTAGATAGCCAAATTCTCGACAAGAAAGGTTTTGTAATTTTGCTGTGTGAATAATTGATTTTTGTTAATAGGTTTTGCGAGTTTGATATTTTCCGAATTAAGATTTATTAATTTTGATTTTCCTAGTTTAGATATATATACGTCACTTCAAATACAACATCAAAATTTAGAAAAATATTAATGGAAAATCTAAATAATCACACCCGATTATTTCGGACCGTTCTGTAAACGGAAATGTAAAATGAACAATAAACGCAAACGCACGCCTGCATTCAAAATCCTAACGCTTTAGTCCTGGTCAAAAGTTAATAACTGTTAATTGAATTAGTTGCTTAATAACGTAATATTGTTAATCTAACCAAATCTAAAATGTATACACCTAATCGGTTTGATCGCATAAGAAAAATCCTGATTACAAATTTTGTTACTTTGTTCTTTTTCTCAATAATCATTGAATTATTATACTCTTTAAGTTCCCGACTCGTATAACCAGAAAAGTACCTACGTACCTATATGTTATGGTTTTAACATTTGTTGTATTTAAAAACAATCCGTAAACCATATAATTACCTTTTTAAATAGCAAGTCCTTATTGTCCAGGTCTGAATACGGAGTCCATTCGGACGCATTTATCCACAAGCTGTTTTTAGAGTTGGTGAATATGTTTTCTTTGGCCAAAATACTAGTGAACGACGCCAAACAGTCTGTAGTAATTTTGTTTGAATCGTCGTGTAGAAGCAAAAAAACAAAAGGTTCACCGGGCGTGTTGAGTCGCGAAAAAGCACTTGCCAATTTTTTCAATAAGGTAAGTTGTAGTGACGGAAATTTGACCTTAAAACTATTGATCAGTTTAAACTTCATATTATTATTGTTAGCATTGCTTAAATCGGTAGTATTTGAAAATTTTGCGACGTAAACACCAATACTAAATGCCACAATTATAACAATTAATGGACAAATGTAATAAGCATTATACCAGGAACCCGTTTCTTTTTTCGTTTTTGCTAAAACAATAAATTTGAGACAAATTAAAATATAATATTATATACAGATTATATTTTTTCTTTAAGCGTACTCATCCCATTTTTTTTTTTTTTTTTGGTTAAATTTTGCATGTATTCAAATTCTAATTTTTGGAATTTTCAAGTGTAGTTAAAGTCGATATTCCCCAATACTTGGGTTTTTCACAACATTTAACAAGTATCCTGTGGTGATACCAACTTTGGTTTTTTAAATGAGAACCTGTATTAAAAATTCATACATAAACGGACTATAACTTTAATTAAATTTTGGTGTTAAAATTTATGATTTCCGTCAAACCGTTGACGAGATATTTCATTTTTAAGTTTTGGTAGGGGGAGAGTAGTGAAGCACTAAGAAAACGCCGTACCACCACATAAATGATACTGCACTATTCTCCCCCCACCTAAACTTAAAAATGGAATATCTCGTAAATGATTTATTTAAAGTAATACTCCGTTTATTTATGGAATTTTTAATATAGGTTCTCATTTGAAAAACCGAAGTTTGTATTACCACAGGATACTTTTTTTATGTTGTGAAAAATCTAAGTATTCGAAAATATAGGCTTTAAAGACTCTTAAAAATTCCAAAAATTGGTTTTTGAATACATGAAAAATTTAACCAAAATTACTGACAAAGACGCAAAACAGGAGCACACACAGGGAAGGAGAGGTTACGTAGCTTAATCCCCATCTATACATTAGATTTGATAACACAATAATATTAATACAAATTATAACAATTAGTATCTTTTTTTTGTTAAACTATTTTCTACTTGAACTGAAATTTACAACGAAGTACCTCTCCTTCGCATAAATACTGGATGTGCCCAAGCGACTTGCACAAAAATTATCCCTACATCACGAAACAGAAATATGGCGTTTTGATATAGTTTTAAATTTTGTCAAATATAAATTCTTTGTAAATAAGAACCATTAAAATATGGACAATAAACATTCAGCATGCTTATTATCTCATTCAAGTAGTTACACAATTTGAATTTCTTAATGTCTTATATATTGACCATCTTACTGTTATGTAAAACTTTAACATATTTAGAACAGGTAAAATAATAATAATAATAAAAAGACACTTACTAATACTTTTACTATTGAGGCTCCATCTCGATTTTCGAGAAATCAAACAGCTATGGCATACGTTGAAAACTGATTTGGGATTTTTTTTGTAATCATTTACAAATTGTCGACAATCGGCAATATTAGAAAACTTAGTTTGAGCAATTTGAACAAATGTTATCATGTAAACATCTGTGTAATCTTCAAATGGATTTTTACATTCCACATTGACACACTGTAATCATATGGTTAATAATAAGAACGATTTAAACAAACCCTAAATTACTTGAGTACATTTTATAAATCCATTACACACTCCATTTTTACCCTGTTCACAGACATTTTTTTTTTACATTCTGAGAGTAACAAATGTATTGGTTTTATTATGATAATGTGTGCTGTTTATTTTTTCTACCTGTGACTAACTTTTCTACAAGAAATATTGCTCCGATAATAAACATCAGCGGTGATTTCTGGTAGCGAATAGTTTATGCTTTTGGGATGTTATTTTTTGGTTTTCCTTGAAGTTTTCTTAATAAAATAAAAAAACCAAGATAAACATGTCGACAAACGTCTAAATTTACCCAATAACGATTTCTGTTATTTTTTGGAAAGTCAGTGAAAATAACCTTGGAGACTTGAAATTATACTTATACTGCATTACTACATAATATTACTATTATTTTCTGATCATTTAGATCAGTGGTCGGCAACCGGCGGCCCGCGAGTCTATTAAATACGGCCCGCTTTAAATTCTATAACAACGAAATTAAATTTAATATCATNATAGTGATCGTTTATTTGACCGTTAATTTAAATTTTAAACTAATTATAATAAATATCAGAAAAAAAAAGAAAAATAGATTCTGAATGTCGTGTATTTCAGCATAAATGGATCAATCAATACTTTGTTATTGAAAATAAAGGAAAAGTCATGTGCCTTGTTTGTCGTGAATTAATTTCTGTACTGAAATAATACAATATTAAACGGCATTATGAATCCAAGCATAAAGTTAAATATGACGCCTTATACGGACAGTTCAGAGAAATTGAAGTTAATAAACTACAAAAAGCTCTAACCGGAGAACAAACGATCTTTTTAAAAGTAACTATTCAAAATAAAGCCGTTATTTCTGCCAGTGTGAATGTAGCTATGTTAATTGCGAAAGAGGGAAAACCATTTNTGTCGTGAATTAATTTCTGTATTGAAAGAATACAATATTAAACGGCATTATGAATCCAAGCATAAAGTTAAATATGACTCCTTATACGGACAGTTCAGAGAAATTGAAGTTAATAAACTACAAATCTAAATTTTAGATAATTTTATTTGACTTTTGATTCTCGATGTTTGACGTGTTTTTAATACTCAATAATATTGCCGAAAAAATTTGTATTACTTTTATGGTTATTAATTTTCTATACTTAGGTATTATGACATTATATTAATTTAAAACAAAAATCACGATGTTTATATAGGTACTTGTATATTCAGAATTTTCTAAATAATTATGGGTTTAACAAAACAGATTTACAATATTTATTAAGTCGGTTTTATTTGGTAATTGGTAATGTTGTGATCATGTTAGTAAAATATTTATTATTAATTTTGAATTATTAATGAATAAATAAATTATAACGACGTGAAACATAAATTATAATTAATTATCAAATAGGTGATACTTGGAAAAAAAAGTATATATTACTATTTCAAGGGTTTTACATTTAATAAAAAACTTTACACCTAAAAACTAAATAAAAATTGTTTGTTGTCTAACTAGATAAAATAAGTTTAGTTTTGTTTATAATTTTATCTTGGTAAAATATCTTGATATATTGATCATTAACTGTGATCATTCCGTTTTTTATATTTCATTTTAATACAATTTAATGATCAACATAGTACTGTTCAAAAATGTTTTCTTTATTTTATAAAAATAAAATGTATTGTGCGTATAAAATGTAAATATCAATTACTATATTGTACGCGCAATTTTCAATTGTATTTTTCTTGCTGTTAAATCGAAAATAATAATGCATATATTACATAAAGTAAAAAGAAAAGATTTGTAATAAATAATTGGTACAAACTAAGTAAGCATGTAATATACGATGTTTAATGTTGATGTCCTGGAGTGTTTGAACTGGGTAAAACAAGGCATGCAATAAGTGTGATAAAAATAAAAATGTAAAACATTAATTGCATAAATATAATAAAATAACAATAGGTATACTATACAAATATATTGGGCGGAAGTTATACGACGTATACAATTTGTAAGAGTTTGGTACAATACCGTATTATACGTTATGATAAAGCTGTTTAAAATTGTGTTAGCGCTTTATAGACGTAGTAAAATTTTCAAAAAACTAGAGCTTTTGAACAATAAACAACTATTTTAAATTTTAGAGTCCATTAGTTTTTTTTTTTTTTTTGTTTTATGTGAAAAACAATTTTAAAATACGAACAATATTATACCTACAGGCGCGGTTAAAAATTTATCAAAAATTCAACAATAAATATTAAGACGACTCTCAAAATGACAGATCACTAATTATAGCGACCGATCATTAATATACTAGCTGGTACATAGAGAGAGATTATTACTTTTTTCTATTATTATTTGAACAAAACTAACAAAATAGATTTTATAGTATTATAATAGAAAAAAAAAAATGGGCAATTCGATAAACAAATTAGTATCCAAAGTACTTTCGGATATTGGCACCCCATCGTATTATATTTATATTATTTATACAAATATACAGAGTTAAATAAATTAAATTGTAACCTATACTGAATGATCGTTTAGCAACAGTCTCAAAAAAATTGCAAAAAACAGGACGTACTACGCACCATGGATAATTGGCCAATGTTGTACCTGGAAGTTGGGAAGACGGATGAAACATGATTGCGTAAGTTTGTTGTTGGGTAAAAGAATACTTTTAAGAATAAAAAATAAACACGGTTGCGTATGAAATTGTATGTAACGTTGTTAAATTTCATCGTATACCTAATAAATATCCAGTACAGTTCTGTAATAATTAATATAAAATAATAAAATATAGGTAATGAGAATAACTAAATAACAGTAAATTAATTACTTTAATAAAATACCTACATTTGAATTCCCAGACTTCTATAACCTATTACTTTTAAATATTGAATTAAATTTTTATGGATTTCGTATTCATCATCATAAGCGTTTACAATAATACGTAGAATTCTATCAAAGTCTTGTTTAACCATTTTTTTATTCTCTCATTATTAACCTTAGAAAATACGCTATAAATCGGAAATAAGAAATTTCGTTTTATCTGATATATTTTTGAGATATATGAATCTGATATCATTAACGATAAACGTAAGTAATAAAAGCTTAATGGTTATGGAAATAGGCAAAGTTGAAAGTATTTATAAATTATTTCTAGTTCTCGTTCTAGTGTAGTCGTATGGTATATACTGGAATTAAAATTGGCTTAATACTTCGTACGCACTTGTGTAGCTTAAAAAAGTGTTTTACCCGGGAAGATATAGGATGTAGGGTCATTTAGCCTATATTATAATTACAGCCTGGCTAAATCGAAAAACGATTCTGCGCGGAGTTCGGTAAACGTAGTGGTTATATTTTATTGTAGCAATTATCCGTGTTTTCTCTCTTGTAAAGCGAAGGTAAATAAAAAATTCAACCGAAATAACACACCGATGTATCATCGTTTTGTTATTAGTTTTGGTTTAATTGTTGGAGATCCGGGAGAAATATTCAAATGAAATATGACCGACAGAAAAACCGACATCTTTTCGGGTGCGACGTGAAAATATCCGATCTTTTTTACTAACCGAAAAAGTGTTTTCCGAGAAAAAAAAACACATTTTAGTAAATGAGACTAATATAGATTTTTCGCTACACTCGGAACCTGAAATATTTTATTGTTTTTTCAAACCTCTGCTGCACGGTTACAATTGTATTATTATTAATTTACTCCACCGACCCGTGTAAACAAGACGTGTTAAATGTAGATACAATATTGTTGGTTTTTATAAAATTAATTGCGTATACATTTAATTAAGAGTACAAAATCGACTGCGTTTTACTTTCACACATATTATCTATTATTATACTAATTAGGCGAATATTCCGGAAATGAGCGTAGGTACCTAGAGATTACCTATCCTTTTATTAAAATGATTCTTGTCAAAACTGCATTACGCGAATACCTACGCGGTTCACGGTAGATAAACTCCACCAGTGATTTCAATAATGTAATCCGTCCATCTCAAATTTCGCTAGATTAACAAATTTTCTACAAACGTATCTTGCTCAAATCGAAAACCGACAAAAGAGATTTTTAGGCACACGTTTTGTCAAGTCGGTGCATTGAAATGATTAGTTTTGGATTGTATTTGAACTGTTTTCGAAATATTTCAGAACAATTATTATTCGAGAATATTACTTACGCAATAACGAATTTTGATATTATCGATTTTGTTTTTTCGTTGTAAGCCAGGTAGAATAAATAATCGTAGAAACAGACATTTTCAAAACATTCTGGTCATTTTCGAGCTATCTATTCATAGTAATTTGATACATTGACGAGTTTTTTAGTTTTTATTCAGTTTTGTGAGGATACCCTTTTTTAGGCTTTTCAAAAATGCTCTAAAATTTGATACAAGTTTTATCATAAGGTGTTCTCATGACACTATAAAAATGTCGAAAATCCGTAGCCACAATTGTTTTTTATAAGGTTATACATTTGAAATTTTGATGAAAATCGTAAAAATCATTACATTTATCGTACTGTTTTTATTTTCCAATTAATGTGGATAAAACTTTTTTAACTCTAGACAAATTACAGATAATCAAACATTTTAACAGCAAAAAAAGGACCATCGAAATTTATTTTATTTTTAGGTTAGGTTAAGTGGATATAAAGTGAATACAAATTGCATTCAAAAATACAATTTCCGATAAGAATGAATAACTTCCAAAATATTAAATCACTATAACGGGAATCAGTGTACAAATGTTTGATAATCATGGAAATCTTTGAAAACCTGATAAGAAATCTTGGTAATCACTAGGAAAATCACAATATTCTGAAATCTGATTTACACAATATTAATCAATGACTTATCCTCTGATAACTACCGTACGTCTGACTACAGAAATAACAAAAATAAACGAGCGTGTATTACTAATCGGTAATCGTAACCACTATCTATATGTAAAAATCAAATAAAAAATTATAAATTAAAAATAAAAAGAAAACTGATTACACGACACGATTTTCATAAGCAGTATAATAATACTAGGCATCAAGATAAATATCTGGGAAAGCAACACAATAAAGTAATGTACCAATCTATTAAACAGCATACACACACACATTTAATAGTTACTGCATAATCAGAAGAAAAATACGGACACGGCGCTGAGAAATTGAACGGTAAACACACTTTGTCGCGCTTCCCTTACCACGGCTGGAGCAGGTGTTTTTTTTTTTTATATATTTTTATTATTATGCATCGAGGATAATTGGCTTTTGAAAAATTCTTCTCAAAAATATTTGATTGCAGAAAACGATTAAAATTTAAACAATTTATTGTCGATATCGACAAAATCGAAAATAATGAAACTATTAATGCGGTAATTTCCGGTTTTTTTTTTCGCAATAATTAAGAAAATTACTTGTAAAATAAAACAATGATTATGCATAAATTAAATCTAAAATACTATATAAAAGCGCTGTTGTTGGTTTTTGATTGACGCATGTGAAGTCTATTAGAAAAGTCGTATACAGACACAACAAATGAAAAATGAAATACTTTACACATCATAGTAAAACTATACATTCATCGCTGACCTCAGAAGCTAAAAAAATTCTCACATATGTATGTAAAATAAATCGTATTTCCGTAAACGTGCAAAAAATTACAATACTTGGTAACTACATATTTGTTAGGCATTATGTATGAAACCTTTGATTTTTTATATTTGTTAAAACTTAATGTTTGTTACAAGTTTTTAGGATTTCTCAAACATTTTATAATAGGAATGAGTATTACGTATTATAAAAAATAGGTGGGTAGTGTAGGGATATTGTGTAGTAATCTTATTATATAAATAAAATACATGAAAATTGTCATCCTTCTCACAATTATTTTCACTGATACTAATTTATGTTATTTAATAGAAATTTCTGGGCCAAATTTAGAGAAATGTACCCACGCAGTGAAATTTTCCCATGTTAATTGTAAAGAACAATCTACTTTATGAGAAAAATGGTATGTATATACACCCATAATATATTATACAGGTGTCCAACAGTGTTACCCTTAAGCTAATAACTTTATCAATATTTATATTTTCTTTTTTAAAATCTAATCGTTTTTTGTACAAAGGGTACACACCTTACAATATATACCTTGGTACACATACATAGAGAAATATTGTTATTGCTTAACCACTGAAAAAAATAACTTTTATTTTTCTAATTTTTTATTTTTATTTTTCTAATTGATTGCAAAAGTTGGTGGTTTTGAAATTGCATAAGGATAAATTTTATGAGTACAGGGAAAAAATATAGTGACCAAAAAAATTATTATTTTTATTATTTTAGTACTTAAATCATAATCAAATTTATATTAAGTTTTAAAAATAATAATAATAATTAAACAATTATTCTCCATTAAATATATTAACTATATCTAGTAGGGTTAATTTAATTAAATTAGGTTCATGTACGTACTACTATTTTCGCTTAAACTTTAGATAGGTATTGTAATTCGTAATTAATTAGTATAGGTAATACATATGTAGAACAGCCTATTAACATATATCTATACTTCAGTAACGGATTAATTAGATATGAACAGGACTGTATAATATTATCTATCCTTACTAACTAAATTTACTCCTAGTAAACAAAAAAAAATACATTCCTCGTTACGTTCAGAATCTAAATGATTTGCACCACTGTAGGTGTATAAAAATATGATAAGTTAATAAGTCTATAGAGTTACTTACATTAAAAATATAATATAATAAATTATAATTTAATTAAGCAAAAACACTGTGTAATGCATTGCAATTGGAATGCATTGCAATCTAGAACAATTGGTCACGGCAAAAAACACCATATGTGGACAATTGATCCATGTTATAATTTTTTACATAGATAATATTGGTCTCCGGGTCATTTATTTTACTTTAAGTAATTTTTTTTTTATATACATTATGATTGGTTACAAATTAGGGCTACCATTAAAGAGAACAATTGTTTTTATACTAATAGGTACATATAAAACACTTAATTTTTAAAAATATCCGCATACATTTTGAAACATAAAAAAGCAATTTAATAATATAATAAATAAGTACCTATACCAAATTTGAATTCTAATTTTAAAAAAGTAATAATTAAAATATTAAAAATGATTTAAGAGCTTGTTTAAAAGTTTAATACAAAATACTTTTGTAAAATAAAATGTTATGTTAATATTAACACTTTGACTTCATAAATAATTTAAAAATTCTTCTTCTGAAAATTTGATATTATAACTATTACAAATATATATGTTAGTATAAACTATAGTATTTCTCACATAAGTAAAAGCACAGTTTTGTACACAGGCACATACCTACAGTATCTAATATTTAAATATACAAAGAATATTTTTGAAATATTTTATGAAACTTTTATTGTCCCTACAGAGTAATACAATTATTCTATTTAAATGGGGACAAATGGCAGTCCTAATTCATTACCTATCAAAATCAGTATATTATATTATCCTATTTAAAAATGTAACATCAATGGAAAATTAATAAAAAAAAAAATTGACAGAGATCAATTGTCTGTATAAAAAATGATGACGAGAACCGATTACACATACACAAATGGCGTTTTTTCATGGAGGTCAGTCGTCCGGGCACCAATTTTTGATTTACCATTTTAATTAACCTAATTCCTAAAACTATAATATTTAGAAGTGAAAGTCGGGTAACCAGTGAAATAAAAATGTAAAAAACATTAGTTACCTCATTCATATATGGCGCACTTGCTTCCATTATTTTAATACGTGAATCATTCGTTTGATAGCAGAAATGTTTTTCGACTGAATTATTCTTGCTATATAGATGTTATTGGACAATTACTAGAATATCCATATTATCATTTATATGGGAAATCGTGTTGTTCGACATTAAAGAATTAATTACAACAAATATTTTATAAACATAAATATTAAATCTTATAACATATCCGAGTTATTAAATAGATAATATATCGTTTTTAAAATTGTTTACTACCATCACAGATTGAAAAAAGTGTAAAATGTGTTGCGATTAGATAAGGTCATAGTGTTATCAGTTATTCTTATCAATAATAAAACAATATATTGAATTTTGATGCATATTACTAATTTCCAATCTACATCAAATAAAACGTTTTGAATTGTTTGAATTAAGTTTTAGTTTTTTTTAAAAAAAATTTAATTTATCAATTTTTCATGCAATTTACTTAGATTGTATTTTTGGTCAATAATTTTGTATTTAGAAAGAAAATAATTAATAAATTTTAATAAATTATAAATGGATTCAAACATTCCAAATCGTAAGTAGTGCCTACAATACCTAATACTGTTTTATTATTATTATGTATGTACTATTAGGTAGATTGCTATATCTTTATATTTTTTCTTCTTCTCTTTCGCCTTCATTTCAGTTATTTGGGGTCGTTCACCTTCGTCCAAAACTTCCACTTTAACTGATCTCTTATATATATATATGTACTTATTGCCTATTTAATAAAAGTATTATTTAAAATATAAAACTGGTATGCTTATAATATATCAATTGTGAAACCAATTATATAGTTTTCATTTTCTAGTCCAATTTAGTTAAAACTAATATAAATGTTTATTTTCATTAATACAAATGTGTATATTTTATATATTTTTATTATATGTAAATGTTAGATTGTCCAGGCACAGAAAGTTCATCTGCCGGTCAAGTGTCTGCGTGCCAAGGATGCCCGAATCAGAAAATCTGTGCATCTGGAGTAACTCAACTTCCTGACCCGGGCAAGTAAAATAACATTTCCAATGCTATATTAGGTTTCATGAATTTTTTTTTAATATTAGCTTTGGAAGTGATGAAACATCGTCTATCTAGTGTGAAGTATAAAATATTAGTGATGTCTGGCAAAGGTGGGGTTGGAAAAAGTACTTTCACATCATTGTTAGCTAGAGTTTTGGCCAGTGAAAATGAACACAAAAATGTAACATAATTTTGTTACTCTAAAATAGTCCAATAATGTTTGTATAGTATATTTACAATTATTTTATTGTTTAGATTGGTGTGTTAGATGTTGACATTTGTGGACCTTCTATGCCACTTGTTTTTGGAGTTCAAGATGAAAATGTGTGTATAATATTATTACTTATTTATAATTTAAATAATCCTACAAATGTGTTGGGTACTAATTTTTTTTTTTTATGTTTTATTTTTCCCAGGTCCATCAGAGCGGATCTGGATGGTCTTCTGTGGTAAAAAAAAAAATGTTTATGAATTAAAAATATTTGATAGTATCATACATTAAATATATCATTATACAAATAAAATGTAAATTAAATAAACTCATTTTTTTTCTATTTATTATCTTAGTTTATCGAAGAAAATCTGTCAATCATGTCAGTTGGATTTTTGTTAGAAAATAAAGATGATGCAGTGATTTGGAGAGGCCCCAAGAAAAATGGTATTGTTTTTAATTTTGTCAGAAAATATTATGACTAAAATGTATTATATATCATTTTTAATTCTAGCAATGATAAAACAATTTTTGACTGAAGTCGATTGGGGCAATACATTAGACTATCTGATTGTCGACACACCACCGGGAACTTCAGACGAACATCTGTCGTTGGTACAATTCCTGAAGTCTACCCATAATTTCTCAGCAGTTATTGTAACGACTCCCCAAGAGGTGTCACTGTTAGATGTCCGTAAAGAATTAGATTTCGCCAGAAAAGTTGGATTACCTGTACTGGGTGTGGTAGAAAATATGGCTGGTTTTGTGTGTCCTAAATGTAAAGTAACAAATGAAATATTTCCAAAAAATACTGGAGGCGCTGCCAAAATGGCACATGAAATGAATGTTCCATTCCTTGGGTCAGTTCCATTAGATCCTTCATTAGGACGATGTTGTGATGAAGGTGTTAATTTTGTTCAAAAACATGCTGGATCTCCAACAGTGACAGCAGTAAAAAATATTATTGAAAGTAAGTCAATGAGATGTTTTATTTATTGTGTGAAACAATTAAAAAAAAAATCATTGATTAATGATTGTATATTTAATTTTAACAGATTTGACCACAAGTTTGCAATCAATTTGAGATAATACTAATATGTTTATGATAACACACAAAATTATTGGTTATCTTGAAATAGATTTTTGTTTGAGAAATCTATTTATTGTTATTCGATCATTTAATATATTATACCTTATACATGCATAATAAATGATTATTTTTATTATACTCTTTGTCACTATATACTTTATCCTTCCATTTTACATGATAAAATATTTAAATAAACCATAGAATATACATACACTATGAAATAAATTGAATAGTTTTTATTGGAGTATTTGCCATTTGGAGACCCTCCCACTCTCACACTGTTCATGGTCAAGAGAAAGTTGATAATCAAATATTATGTTATTACAGTATGTTATTGTGATTATAGTATATGTGAACTGATTTACTTATAGTTTTCTAAGAATCAAATCAAAATAAGATAATACAAACCAATAATTTGTATAATACAAAAATAAACATGAAGGTAAAAATAGTACAACTTATTTCTCTCAAAATAAACAATTTGTATAATTTTTATATTTTCTTTAGTTTCAGATAGCATTATGTTTAATTCTATGGTGTATAGTATACGTGCAAGGGGCAAAATTTGAAGCTTTCTATCCGAGAGAAGCATATGGAGTGAGCAATGGAGCTTCTCGATCGCCCCATGGTCATGGATCATTTTACAAGTACAGAAACCCAGCTCTTGTAGATGCTAAAAACTCACCGGCTTATGGATACAGATTTGACGGGAAAAGACGTTTTAATTTTGACAAATGATTTTTGAACCTATTATATTGTTCATTAATATTAATAAATTATATCTATATATAAGAAAACATAATTTAAAGTAAGAAAGTAGCAATAAAAATAACTAAAAATATATAAGTTGTATATAGTAACAAATTAACCAATAATAAATTATATCTTACAGTGATAATTTAACATTATTATAAAATAGCAAATTAAAAGTCTAATACTTTAAAAAAATAGTTATCTATTAATAATCAGATCCAATCCTTATGAGAAAATTGTTATCTTAAATATTATGATACAGTCCATTAGTTATAAATTATTGAAACTCATATTGCTTTACAATACAAACTTAATTAAAAGTACAATAATCAAACTTACATCTAGTTTAAGGCCCAAGTGTTTTTTTTTTTTAAATATGTGTTTTTTAATACTGAATTTGATAGTATTTTAAAAAATAGCTGATTGCACTTTTTGAGTTATAGTAAAAAAGTTTTAAAAACTAAATTTTATTTCTCTCAGCTTAACATAATAATATATTAAGCAAATTTTTATATTTCTCTTTGAGTTACAGTTGACTAATGATTGAAAAGGACGGATTTAAAGGAACCAGTTAATTTCTTCAATTCCTGGAATTTACCTTGAATTAGTTATTCAATTTTAACAAATAGCAGTTGGTTATAAAAGTGAAAATTATTAGAACAAAATTTACCTCTTTGTATTCATCCTTATGCTATCTTATCTAGTTAATCTTCTCATGTGGGCTAAGCATTCTCATATCTGCTACACTCATTTTGTTCTATTTTTTTGTCTCACCAAACACTCTCATTATTTATGTTATCTTTAATAATGTCTATGAGCAATAATTCTCGCATTAATAGTCAACAATAACTTTAAAAGTAAGTAAAATATTGATATTTGTCTCATGTAAAATATTAAGTCGAGATAAACAAAATTTTAAAATCTAATTTTTTATCAGATATAAAACACTATAAAAATATTTTAAAAAATAAATTAATTTTGAAAAATCACAAATTTTAGGGGTTTTGTTAATATAACTCACATTTTGAAAAAAAATTGCTTGTTTCAGAATTATTAATATTATTTATAATTAGGTACAAGAGATTCATATAAAAATAATGATTAATACTTTTCATATCACTAGACCTGTAGATAATTATCTACTTTGATCTTGGGTGCTGGTTGTGAGAAGGGTGACAACCAAGTTATTGAAACTCTGCCAAAGACAGCTTGTAAGCTTTTCCATTTCGATTTTTTCATCCATCGAGCTTCTTCTTTTTTCAGTTGTTCAATCCCCTGAAATTTCAATTCAATATTAATTTATCTGATTTTATTTACATATTTAATCGACTAATATTTTAGAGAGAAATAAATATTATAAGCACTTTAATATTTTATGTTCATTCAAATTTATTTATTAAATTTAAAGTTGTATTTATTAAGTTTGTATCGTATATTTATAAGAGCATGGTGGCTCATTTTAACCAAGTTTTAACTGATCTACTGCTCAATACCAATTTAAAAGATTGGCCATTTTAAAAGACAAATATAATATTTTAGATCAAATTACCATAGCTGAAAAAATTGTAGAAATTAGATTTGACGTATTTAAATTTTAAAAAACTTATGAATATATGATTTTTTAGATTCTTTACTAGAATAAAATTTTATTTTAATTTCAGTTCTTTTTACCATTAAATAATGGGAAATATATACTTGACAATTTTAGGAAAATACAAACAAATTGTTTTTATAATTTCCAATAAAATAATTTAATTCCTATTTCCAACACATTCCATAGACCTAAAAAATCATAATCCTTTTTTAAAATTAAAATTTCTTTTCATACAATTCCTATAGTTTATTTGGTTTTAAAGTTGAAATTGACTAAAATATACACCATCATTATTTCCCTTAATCAAAATATAATAAATAGATTTATTAGGAAAAAAAAGTAATTACTGATCTGGTGATAAAATAAAGTTACTATAAAATCAATGGTTAACTACATGGTACATATAATAATGTTTGATCAAAGGTGAGAATATAATGATAAACATACCGTTTCATCAGAGCATATGGCTTGTAATTGGGTGGCGAACATTACCATAGTAAATATTGCAAATAGTAATGCTTCGAAACCTAAAAATATCAAAAACACTACTGTTGCTGGAGGCGTATACCAAGAGCACTGCTTCCATTCAGAATGTAAGCACCAAACAAATTGGTTGACACATAGGTATAATGCATGTAATGACATAGCAGCGATGTAAAGCTAAGTAATAAAAAAATATAAAATAACAATATTATTATTGTTTTCCAAAAAAATATACAAATAACAGACATACCGTAAATAATACAAAAAACTTCTGGTTTTTTTCCCCGACACAATTATTGACCCAAGGACAATGATGGTCCATTTTTCTAATACATCTGAAGTATAAATAATATATTATATTCTTATAATCATAAACAAGGATTTTTTACATTGTTTATTAGACTACAAAAATTTGACTATTGTAATTGGAAATTGTAATTTTTCATATACCTTTGACAAACTGAACAGTGATGGGCTCTTGAAGGTTTTATACAACAACATTTTTGACATTTGTATACAACATGACCTTCACGTAAACCTAAATATTTTATCATTTCTTTGGTGGCATTCCCTTTTGGCACTGCACCCTGAAAATTTTTAAATGAATGATAAAATCAAAAAATGTTTATTTAGCATATTATTATTATCAATAATAAAACACTTATTTAACAATGTAATATAATATTTTGCATAATGCATTTGATAAACTCTTCATTAATATATATACCAACAGAATCAGCATTTTAAGCTTTTTATATCACATTTTAAAGCAAAGAATTGTTTCATATATATTTATATATATATATATATGACAATAGAAACAATACGGTTAAAAATAATTTTCATACTCGAGAAAGTGTAAACAAATTGTTAACTAAATAAGAAATATAACAATAATAATATTTGTTGTAACGACAAAACAATTTACAAGAAAAACAACAAAATACTACATTAGCGACAAATTCATCCAATGAACATAATATGAATGAAAATGGATGAGCTGAGTTCATAGAAAGATGTGAAATATAAAGAAAAATACTATAACAACAGCATACAATTTAAGTTTATGTAGAATAGTTTTAACTAACAAAATGAGTTTTAGATAAAACATTGATATGGTTAGAGTAAGTACAGTTCCATATTGATACCACATGCAAAACATGATTGTGCTAAAGCTATGTAAATAACTCTACAAGTTCTAATGTCCAACATATATTTAAGCGATCAGAACTTGAAAATTATTTTTTAAGATTATTCTCAAAATAAATATTATGTTTAACACATTTTAGTCTATGGTCAAAATATACACCAAGGTATTTAACAAATTAACTCTTTCCAAAGATACACATAGAAAAAATGGATAAGGCAAAAATACCAAAACAGGTAATGTATGTAAGAATGGAGGGAACCAGGAGACAAGGACGTCTAAGAAGCATATGCATAGACAAAGTTAAGAAAGGTCTACAACAGATGAGGATACGGAACTGGAGGAATGTTTCAAAAGAACGCAATGAGTGGAGAAAAATAGTTTTGGAAACCAAGGGCCATTCTACAGGCCATGGTGGCCTGTAGAACTTAAAATAAGAAGAAGGATACACACACACACAGCATAAATATTTAAAACTAAAATAATATACACAAATAAATAAACCAGGGTTCATATAACCTTTGATAATATTAAAAACTACATAGTTGGATTTAACTAAATTTTATTTTATTTTAATAAATGGGTTTGAACCTTTTGGAAAATTGTACAAATTATTAAATAATTATAGTTAATAATTTAAATGTAAAATACCAATTTTTACTGTGATTAAACAATTTTTAGTTATCATAAATAAATCATTATAATAAAAACTTTTAACCAAAATAACTGTGTATAAGAATAGCAAAGAATGTCAGCAAGTAGATTTAAATTTAAAAATCCATTAATCTAAAAAAAAAAAAAAAAAAACAGAACTGTACCATAAAGTAGTGAAAAACAATTTGTATTTTCATCACTGAATAAACCATTAAGTCTAACCTTTTGTTGTCTATCAGGAATAAATGTTTTAATTAAATTTAGATTATTACCTCTTATGCCAGAAAAATCTAAGTTATTAATTAATAAATCACTGTTAACAGAGTCAAATGCTTTAGTCTTTTATTAATCTATTAATATCTTTTAGGACATACTTAATAGTGGAAAGTATTGGTCTAAGCTCATATTGTATATTGTCCAATATTAAGTATATTGGAACATTGTTGAATGGATATTGAGTTTTCTCAAACACAATATTTAATTTAATCCAATATTTCCAAGAAAAATATTTTTGAAATATAAAAAAAAAACGAGTTTTCAACCTATTCAATGATTAATTTCAATATCAATGCGTAGTTTCGATTTCAAATATTGAATCAAGTATCAATTTTTTACATAATTATCAAATATCGGAATGTTAATTATTGAAAAAATATTACATTGGCTCACCACAGATATTTAATGATATTATTATTCAAAATAAAAAAAAAACTTGCATCATGTTCTTTGCATAAACAGCCATTGTATGGTATTGTTTTTAAAGTATTTCTGAAATGAAAATTTAATTGCGTTAAAGGCATACTTTCACTTGTTTTTCTTAAATAAAATGTCTAATGTATCCATCGTTCAAGATAATACAATATGAATTATACCATTCATTTGTTTTTAATATTAAATAATATATTATTATAATAGTTTAGATTGTATTAAAAAAAGTGTAAGAAAATACTTTATTACACAAAAAACGAGTGAGTAATGGGTATAATATTCTTTGATTTAGTAAACAATTTGATACAATAGTACTTATCTTTTAAATATGTGTTTATGGGCCATGGTTTGTGAGAATCTGTCAAAATGTCAACATTTTGAATATCAGCTGTGACTTCATTAATTTTTACATTAGATTAGAACATTCATAGTTTTAAAAATGCACAAGTATGATATACAATTAAAGAAAATATATATTAAAAGCCCAATGGTTTATACCTGAAGTAAACTAGGCATAAATAAGTCAAATTTATTTAATTTTTAATACAATCAATACTTATAATTAATATAATAATATTTATTATACAAATTTATAAAAATTATACTATATGTATAAGATATTTAATATTTGTTTTGTACAAATAAACACTATAAAAAGCCCCCCCCCCCCTCAAAAAAAAGTATTTTTCTAAAGTTTAATTTGATGACCTCAAATCAATTATTTTTTAAATTATGGTTACTATAATCACATTGAAATTAAACTATTAATTAAATAGATGTAAAGTGCATGTAATACCCACATTAGATTAGTTGTATAAAAAAACAAGAACACACATTTATCATATTACTAATCCATAATTTGCTTTTCTATTGTTCAATATAAGTGTATTTCTACTATCAAAATCATATATCATTTTTTTTTAGATGTCAAGTAAAAGACAAACATACCGGATCTGTAAACATGGTACGCAGATGAGAAGCCATTGCAAGGAATGCAAATATTTGAAATATCACCATATTGACATATTGAAAAATTGGATATGGGCATGGCATGAGGGTAACAAACGTCACTACAAACTCTGCGTACAATATCAATAGCCAGGTAAATATTGCACATATAATGCCGCATATGTCCTGTAAAAATAACAATATGATTACTAAAAACCCATAAATTTATAATAAAGAGCTACTGCTGTGATAATTTTTCTCGGCCGACAAACGGCTGTAACAGATTAAAGGTGTCTCGTTAAAACATATTTCTCTTCTTCTTTCTTTATGACTTTGCCCCATGTAAGTGGAATTGGATATTATTCTTCTCACCCTCTACTAGATACCAAATCATATATACCCTCGTTTCTTCTCACATTTATAGATTTTCTTTAGCCTATTTCTTCCCAAACTTTAAACAGTTCAATCTACATTTGATTTGTCCATTTCACGGTTTCTCCATTTAAAACATGTCCATTTTTCCTGCCATACCTAAATACTCATAATAGATAGTCTAAGAGTAGCTTTACAAATAATTTATTTAATACCTGTGCAATTATTGGTTTTTTTTTTATAGTCTATCCACGGTTCTTTTGGCAAGGCGTTCTTTATACAACGCAGTACCTAATCTGATCTCATTTTTTACCTGAACGCACCACATGGAACCGGCGCAGCAACGGTTGTGCGGGTCTACCCCTTGATTCGGATAGAAAATCACTTGGTCGGTGTCGTCCATGGTGATTTCGTTGTCGCCGGCTGCGGTTCAAGTCTCGTTCAGCCGTCGAACAAACAGCAGCACAATCGGTTCACAGTCCGCTCCCAATCGGGCTCTCATTATTGCCGGACGCCCGACAGAACACCGCAACACCACAGCTGTGCGGTGGCATTAGTATTCTTTTTAATGTGTTCGTGACGGTACAAAAAAAAAAAAATCAGCGACGACAACAATTAAAAACAATAAAATTAGAAAGTCGAAATTCAAATGCTATCAGTATTCAGTTTATCATCGTCATAATACACAAAAAGTCTGTTATCAGTAAAACGGCGTATTATCATAGATTAGATAAATTCGTCACGTTATCACAGAATAGATAACCGTACGGGCCTTTTACGCCACCACGCCGCGGCGCGCCTGTCGAAAAAAAAGTAAACCAGTTTGTCAGATTTTTTACACGGTATAGAGGGTTTTCTCTAGCGAATTTCGCTCACACCGGTTTAATCTAAACCTATTTACCTACTCTTCGAGTTTGGCCACCGTATGGCTAGTACAGAGAAATATTATACTATTATTATTATATTAATTTTTCAAATTCGTCTTTTTTCTTTAACTCTTTCCAAAACCTCTTTATTTGTTACTCTGTCGCTCCTTATAATCACGAACATCTTTCTGTAACACCATATTTCAAGAGCTTCTAATTTGTTCTTCTTAAATGCGCTCTGAGATAGTTTTTCCTTGTTTAAGTTAGCGTTAAGTTTATGTAAGGGGGTATAGAAGAGGAATTGTCTGCACACCCTCGTAACGTGTGTGTTTGTAAACTGGTATATCTTTACATTAACTAAGTATTGCTGTATTAATTTTAAATATGTATGGTTCGAATAAACGATGGCATTAGTGGAGTCGTATTGTCACAAAATAGAATATTAACATCCAGTGAGATCCACAGAGGGGGTTAGGGGACAATTTCTTCCCCGAAATGTTTTCCTTTACTAGTTTTTTTAAAATCAAGTTTTACATTCAACAACATAATAGGTACCTTATACCACAGAATAAAATACAATTTAATTTCATCAAAATTCATTTTATTCAGTAATAATAGTGAAAATGCTGTACTTATAATCCATGTATTATTTAATTCATCTATGATGGTCCCATGAAATATCAAAGGAACATTGTTTTAAACAGTGGTATCATGACACCTAAATCTATAATCATAATAGTTAAATATTATAACTGTTATTGGCTATCGCCATAAAAAAATGAGATTACAAACACATCTAGTCCATCACATCTCATCAACCGGCTCGGAAACACGGTGAATGATAAAGCCATCTTTGATGCCATCAGAGATTTTCGAATTTAAAAAGAAACAACACCGATGGTATCGATTCCATCTCAGATGAATTAGGAAACACAATATGGAATATGCGCTATATCCTCTCGTTTAAAGGTGGAAGACCCCTTTAAATCGCCCCAGTTCCGGTGGGTATTATCAATTTTACTTTATTTAATTACACACAAATATTTTTAGAAAACGTACGTAGTATATTGTAATATAATTTAAAACAAAAATTAAATTAGATAAATTCACATTAAATATGTATATATATATAGGTATGTCACATTCGAGTAAATTATTAACGTTTTAAAAAAATTACATAATATCAATAATAATGACAATAAAAATAATACTTAATAATAATTTATTCCTCTTGTTCAGCTGTTAATTAAATATTTTTACATTAAGTTCCTACCTATAATACGAGTATACACACATATACCTACCTATATTAATTATTATATTATAGCGGGTGGGTAGGCATAAAACACCATAAATATGAATCATCCTAGTAAAAACTCCGATTCGAAAAACGTCGATTTCCCGATAACTATCGTATACGGTTTGCGAGCGTTAAAAACGATTTCGGAAAAATTTCGTTACTCAAATTTTATACATATAAAGCCTGACGTATACAATGCCACACGCCGTCAGGCACGTACAATAGGTACACGAAATATTAATTTCGGGGAGTTCATAATATGATTATATACCTTAACCAGTGACGTTTCCGGAAATTTTCATTGGAAGGACATGTAGTAAATAATAATCATGGTGCATAAACAAATAATAGAAATAGAGATTATTTTTTATACTTAACTCGACGCAATACAAATTTACAAGCCGAAACTAAAAAACTCAATTTGCATTCAATGAATCAAACTTTTTTCCTTGTAACTTGGCTGAAATAAATAATTTCAAAATAAAATTACTAAATAAATATCCTTAGTTATTGTATTGAGAAAGCGAAAAAGGATATAGCCCCTATAATGATCCCCCTCGTGCATACGCCACTTATCTAAACCTAGCGGTATGACGGGCAATGAGCCACAGGCCCATAACGTCTGTTAGCCTAAAATCAGGGTCCAAATCCCAAGACGTTCATTTGAGTGAACCAGAAAGTTGAATAAAAAACAGACGACGGCTTTTTTTTTTCTTGCTAAGTAATTTGAGTGGACAGAAAGACGATTACGAAAAAAAACAATAATCTTTTTCTTTTGCTCCGATCTGTGTAAATCGGGCCTTAACTCGGATTGTGCACTTGGCCCCCAATTCGATTAGTCTAGAATATTTAGCAGCCACGGGCATTAAAAGTTTTAATTACGCCACTGTCCTAAACCGTGATTGGGTTAGATTAGAGGTTACCAGTAAATACGTTTTTGTCAGGAGGGGGGAGGGGTCAATCCTTAAAACCCCGTTCGTATACAGAAGAGTACAGAAGTAAGTATACCTATACGTATGTTATTACGCAGCTGGGTATTTTTTCGGCGGACGGATCGAACTCACGATGGCGCGACGATGGATCGTAAAAACGTGCGATATCGCGACGACAACGCAAATATATTATTGAAATTTTATTTGGGACGTTCGGCTGTCGTGGGACCGGTACCACGGTCAGATGGCAACAGCGGGACGGCGTTTCAATCCTTTGGCAAAGCGCTATCGCTCTTGCCACGGGCGTACGCTTTTACCGCGGCCGTCTTGCCGCCCAGCATCCTGTCCAGCAGCGACTGTTTGTTCTTCCGCCGGACGCTCAACACTTCCCTGCACACCTCCAGGAACACGTCGGCGATCTGTCCCACTTGTTCGGCGGCCGCCACTTCGGTGAAACAGCACTCGAAGTCTTTCGCCAGTATTTCACCTGCGCACAACAATATTGCTCATTTTAGTTGTTATATGGATCTAGGAAAAAAATGTCCAAAGACGATAATAAATATATCCGCGGTATAAACCACAGTAAAAAGGTGGATTAATTAAAGGTAAACGTAACGATCTATTTGATATTTTATCTGCTGCACGAAAAACATTGAATTGTATCGTATGTTTATGTCTTTAGGGACCTCTGTTAATCGCAATCTATTTGTATGATTCAATGTTTTTCCGTACAGTGAATAAAATATAGACTAGCACAATATGTATTTCCTCACATAGCAATTAAATACGAGTAGCATTAATTCGGTCGTCCTCTAAGGCTCTAATGAACCGAGAATTTGTTTATTATTGGGAATCGAGGGGGGAGGAGAATAATACTTTTTAGTGTTGCAGTATTGACTGCGGGGGCGGGACCTGTTTCACCCGAACACGATCTTTCCCGTTTCGCTCGAACACATTTTAGTAATTTTAAAATTATAAGCTGACAATGTTTTTTTAATAATAATTGAAACACATAAACAATTATTTAAACATGTATATCATTAATTATTATTTTATTATAGTATACAGCGTTGAAATCCCCAAAAGAACGAAGTAAACACAAGAATATAATGAAAAACGTATACATTTATATGGATCTGGTGAAATAACTATAGGTATATGAGTCTATAAAAAGCATGTATAGAAATTTAAATGAATAATGATTTGTATTTCGTGATGATTTTTTAAATAATGTTTAATGAAAAATGATTTGTAATGATTTGTTATATAAATTATGTCTGCAGGCTGTATGGCTGAGTCCCAAAACCATTAATTATGTGATGATAGAGAAACAATTTGTGATTATTTTCAAATATTTTTCATGCTTTGACAATATGATATAATTCTCGCATAATATAATTCATGGTTGGTATAAACAAATATTTTATGACTTATTCAATCAAATTTTTATTCTTGGTATATGGCTGCAAAGATATTTATTTAATTGTTTTATATTTCCGCGGTGAAGACAGAAAAAACGAGTGTGCATAGGTAAGTTAGGTTAGAATTATACCTTCTTCCGTGCTAACTTGTCTGAGATGAACCATATCAGCCTTGTTGGCTACTAGGGCCACAGGCAAGTCGAATGTGTCCAACATTGTCTGTTTTACGCGCCTTACGTAATTGAACGATCGTCTGTCCGTGATGGCGAACACCATCACAAGAGCGTCCGCCCAATTGTAAACGTCGTGCAATGGTAACTCCTCGTCGTTCTATGCGTAAAAAAAAAAAAAACTATTTAAACAGTCAATTCGTTAATGTCACGGCCCGCTCAAAATCGGTTTTCATAGTACGATTCATTGGATCAGAGGAAGAAATATGTGGCCTAGCCGGAATTTTAAAATAACTTGGTTGGAAAATTGTTGGTCCAGTTTATAGTATATAGAAACAGTAAGATATAATATTAACTTGTATATAAGAAATCCAATATTCCCATTCCTCTCGTATAGTAGATGTAAAAGGTAAGGATAGTTTGATTTTTCATTTGTAGGACAAATGAAAGGATACTATTAAACAAGTGCATATGTTAGCAAGGAGAATCATCGGTAAAAGACCCGTAGAAAGACGCTGGATGAGATGAATGAGGGATGCCGTGAGAAAATGTATTGAGTTGATTAAGCATAATATGGTTAAACAGACCAATGAAATGGGGGATAGTGATAGGAAAGCGATAAGACTTCGAGGCCCGCTACGTTATTAATAAGAAAACAACAATAATTTGAAATGTTAATTACATCGAGTAAAAATTCGGTGGTTTAGTAAAATTATTCACGTAAATAGTCTTGTATAATATTATATGGTCTTCAATATTATTTTTATTATTTATTGATGATTTACAATTTTCACATTCAAGAAAGCTACTCTGTGATGGTTTCGATATATAAATTTCCCTCAAGACTCGTTATTGTTATACAATTTTTTAAATACCTCGTCAGACTGGTGTCAATTTAATAAATTTATGCTAAATATTAATAAGTACAAAGTTATGACATTTTCGAGGTCTCGTAATCCTGTTTATCTACAGTATAATATTAATAGTTTCCAGTTATTGCGTGTTAAAGATATCTGTGATATAGGTGTATTTTTCGATTCTTCTCTTTCTTTTAATAAACATATTCTACATATACTATTTACAAATCTTAGTCTATATCTTAGGTTTTATTATCAGAAACTGTAAAAACTTTTCAAATTCTGTTGTTTTTAAAAATTTATTTAATTCCCTAGCATGTTCAAAACTAGAGTATAACTCGGTATAAAAAAGGATGATCTCCTTATAAAAACAAAAACCCCATATATTCAATGTTTAGATAAAGTCCAAAATCGTTTTCTCCACTTTGTAGTATTTAAATGTAATATAATTCGTGAGCCTCACTTCCAATACCAGTCATTAGAAGGAAAATAATTGATTTATCATTTTTGTCAAAACTTTTAATCGGTTATATTGTTCGTCCTGATTTAATATGTTTTAATGTATTTTCTTAAAAAATCATATTTATACATCTTCTCCTTTAAATAGGATTATGACATTAGCCAACGAAACAAATATTGAATTGTTATATAATATATAACAATCAACATAAAATTTAAGAATTACTTTTGTATTAATCTCTACCTGCCCTTATTCTCACACATAACTTTGTAATCGAATCCGTTTGATCCGTCAAATATATATAAATAAATTGATATTTATGAATAGTTTCACCATACCATTGATAGTTTTCGATAATTTAGATGAATTATCCAATATTTCCATCGAATAGTTTTAAATAAATGGAATAGTTCTTTAGTACCTATTCGGTTGTGCTCATCATTAGATTGAATACCACAGTACCATTACACTTACACCACAAATAAATATAGGGTATAAGTACATACTTTCGGACAGGTGTCTAATATCTCGAAGAGAATCGGCTCGCCGTCGACCATCACTTCGTGTTTGTATCTTGTTTCTGTGCAACAGAATATATTATTATATAAAAACATTATTTTTGACAACATCAAATAATTAAAAATAAAAGCCGGGCATGTGACAAACTTCGCATCATGGGTAGGCCAATGTTTTAGATGGGTCATTAGGAAATTTGGTTTATCTATTTAAAAATGCGATACATTGTTGCGATCAAAAAATTATTCTGAGCGGGATTCGGTAAAATAGTAAGGTCATAGCCAAGGTAACCCAACAATTATTTAATCAACAAAAATAAAACCATTTATTATTGTCAGGTTTTTAAATAAACCGTGCAGAAAAACTATTGTGAATTTATAAAAAATGTGTAGTAAAGTATTACGGGACGGAAATTTCGCATTTGTATGGTATCGCGCGAACAAATCTGATAATTCAACTCACTAAAACTGCGTTTTCAGAATATAAAAACATACATTTTAGAAAAAACTAATGGCTTGTTTGTTACACCGAGTAAAATCGTGCAACAAAATAAATCGTAAAAACGTCCAAACTTATTGCTTATAACAATATCCCATAGAAACGATTTACCGATTCGAAATTACGATTTTTTACTATGCGCACGTATGTTATATACGAAAATAGCATAATGAATAACATCTCGTCAACGAGTGGGTAGAGCTGTTGATCGCATTATACGTCCCGTTATACACGTCACGTCAGTCATAATAATAATAATAATATATGCAATGTTTTATGTTTTTCAATGAAACCATACGTTTGTTTAAACGAGTGTTTTGTATCGTTAAGTTCTATATTGTTTTGTCAGTGTCGAAAATAAAACGCGTCGCGATGACTGATTTTTTCCTTCTCCGCGGACACGGGGATCGATTGATTTTTTTAGAATCCGCGAACGGACCGCAAAATGCGTTTGATTTTTGTGCCTGATTTCTCGTCTGAAGACGTCTTGTCCCAATCGGAAATTCCCGAGACGGGTTTCTGGTAGTATTTTCAATGTATAATTCGGGCACGTTGGAGAACTCATTTTCGACATTCCCAGTACTAATACTTATAGTTAGGGGCCTACCTAACGGTGCAAAGTTTGTCCGACTGACCTAACCTAAACTTTTTTTTTGTAAACCACACGATCGAACGACAAAAATCATTCGTTACATTATTATTAGGGTTCGAATATTTATGAAATTGCATATTATTTCTGGTTATCCAATTCTATGCTGACCTGGATACAAATTTGATTCATGTTCGACTGAATCAAATTATACTATTTTTATTTTGCATATTTGATGGTTTTGTATTTTAAATACATATTTTAGAATTTTAAGAATATAAATGTAAATTTTAGTACATATTCGATTTTTTTTTAAAAAATTTAAATTAAAAACGCAATATAAAGTACAAAGCATACAATTTGAATAAATTAAAAAAAAAAAAAAACATTGTATCAAACTGTAACGTTTTTATTGTAAATTAATATTGTATTGTAAATAATATCTAATAAAAAACTAATAGGTACATAAAAATAACAATTAAAAAAAATAAAAATTGAATACTGAAGATAAAATGTGCATATTTTACTGTTTTTTTTTTTTAACTAAAAATGGATATTTTATAATTTTTATTGCATAAATGCATACATATTATAGTTATTTTAATTACATAAACATTCGAACACTAATTATTATTAATACATACGAACGGGTATCGGGCAAACACGATGTAATCGCGCAGATTTCGTTTGGCCTTTAAATTTGACCGTTTTCACAAATTGTAATGGTGTACGTCATACGCAGCCGTGACGCAAAGTATAATATGTGCAAAAAAAAAAAATAATAATAATAATAAATAAAAATAAGTAAATGGCGTACGATAATTACGGGGAAAATGTTAAATTAAAAAAAAAAAACAAAACATTAGCGGAGACGATCTAATTATATTCGGACGCGTGTTTCTTTTATTGTAATTTTTTGCGCGATAATTCGACCGCGAATTTTCCGGGCCCCGTTTCTATTTTTGAACGTACATCACGGACGATTTCGGATAAAATCTTACCGGCTTGATGGTCGTACTCGCCAATGTATCTCTTCGTTAAAAATCGCACCGTCAACGCTGAAAACATAAAAAAACAAAAACAAAAACAAAATTAGATATTTTTCTAGGTATTAATATTTAGTTCACTATGTCCCGGACGCAAACGAACGAATAATAATTATTAGATATATACGCGAGTTGAGTCCCGAAATTCGCTTTTCACGCGAATTGTACGTCGATTCGACATTAAAACATTATTTCCATATCCATTATATTGTATGGACTATTAAAGACTTAAAAATGACTTAACTGGTGTAAAACATTTGCGGAAAAATAGCGTCATTTCTTCATTTGTTATCGTATTTCTCATATTAGAATAATCACTAAAAAAACGTCTGAATTAAAATCCCGAAAAATCAATCTAGACGATTTTTATTGCATAACCACCAAAAAGGTTTATAACAGGGAGCCAAAGACATTTTTTGTGCACCTCTCGTCAGATTATAATACTCGTGTAATATTTATTGTACGTATATATTATATAAGATTATATCCGTATGATATAGTGCTATAAAACAATACATACAAATAAAAATAATTATGGTATTATTATATTTTAATATAGTATTATGTTCATGAGTGTTTTTTAGGGTGGGGGTAAGGGGAAACGTGTCCCCGCGGTGTTTATCGTACCTAGTTACGTATATAATTACATGTTAACTACAGTTTAACAACAAGGCCAATACATCATTGAAAAAGACAATAATACATTATCCTTGTCCCCCCCCATTTTTGAGAATGGACACCTTTGTAAACCTATGTATTACAGATTTGTTGACGATTAGGAAATAATGACAATAATTCCTAACACGGCAAGGGAATTGTATCATTGCCTAGAACGTGTTATCATTTCCCAACGATAGCAAGCATGATGGCTAGGCATTATATTAGGAAATCCGTCATTGGGTGGTCATACAGGTACTATATATGTATATATATATTAAATATATGATTATATTTTTATAATAGATACAGAATAGTGTAATATAAAGAATGGTTTATTTAATGATCCACTATTCAACTACTTATTCGGTCGCACTGTAGGCGATTACGTACAATTACTAAAATTTAAAGTAAAATCAGCTTTTTAACAGTAATATTCGTATATAAAAAAATTATACAGAACAATCATACAAATTAACAATTACAGTAAATTGAATGGAGTGTATGGTAACAGTATGGTGTGACCTTGATACAAATGAATATTGGTAGTTATTAGTTGGGGACATTATTCTAGTTATGCCATTTATGGGGACGTTTTTTTGCGAAATTGATTCGTCTTACTAGTAAGTAAAAAGAACCTCTGGTGTTACCCGGGACACGAATACCAAGTTGTCCTGACCAGCGCGGTAAAAATGTTATCTTGTTTTTTGTTTATTTATTTATTTTTAAGGAATCTGTTTCTATAGTAGAACAATATAAGCTTAATTGATAATGTATAAGCCTTAATATTACTCTAATAGGATTATAATATTATGCGGCTGATAAACAATATTTAAACCTTTAGGCTTTACCGGGTACTGTCAAAAATGATTTTGGTATTTTTTTTTTTTTTTTCTACAGTCGTTATAAATCTATATAAATGAAATTTTGAACGATATTTTCAACATTTGACCTAAAGTTCTAATGTACAATCGCTTACTCTCCCGGAAGTGTCAATTTGTCTGCTTAACCTGCCGGTCTTAAAACAGAAGCCACATCGAGTATTTTGGCTTTGCACGGATTTATTTCGGTTCTTGTGAATACGAATATGGGTTTCTATAACGTTGTTTTAATAGGCGAAAAACTCTAGAAGTAATATAACAAGTACAGTAAAACCTCTCTGAAACGGATTCCTTATTAGACGGAACAGTGGCGTGGCGATGGGGGTATTCGTGAGGTAACCGCCTATGACTTTTTTTTTTAGGGGTCTACGTACTCGTGTATGTCTACTTATATAACAATTTTTAAGAAAGTGACAAAAACTCAGTGTTAAATCTTCACATATAGTAAATGTACAGCCAATGGGTGAGTCATGGGTTCGTCAATAGGTAGGTGGATATTGGACGAAAATATTCGCGTATGAAAATGTTTGAGTTCGGCACGCCACTTGAAACGGAATCCTCCTTATAACGAAAAATGTCAATAGTCCGAGTTCAAACATTTCAACAGTTTTGTATCGGAAAACTCTCAATAACGAAATTTTGATTTCGAAAGAGAGGGGTTTAACTATGATATTCATTCCCTGACCGTGTTTGGATTTGTCAACATTTCCAGAAGCATACGCCATGGAACGTAATTATTCGTGTGCGACCCGTCACCGTTCCTTCGGTCCGAGACAGCGGTTAAGACGTTTCTAATAACTTGACTAAGTTAAACACATTTTAAACCTCGGCCCGCGAACCCGGAAACGATAGCGACGGTCCTCAAATGAAATTTGGACGCGCGCCATCGGCGCACACACACACGGGACAAAAAAAAAACACACGATCGTTTAAATGTCGAACGTCCAAAACCGAAGGGAGCAGAACACGTGTCGCGCGGACAGTAAATATTATCGCAATATACATAATATCGTCTCAAAACCGTGTATTTCATGAAACAAATTTTTAATGAACGCGTTAAGTATGGGAGCTAAAAATATGTTTACGGGGGCTAGATAGTCCCTTATATTCGCGTTGTCACTGCACAGTAAATCATAATTCATAATATTATTCCCGAGGTCTAGACGAAGTATCACCGCGAGAGCGCGCTCGCCAATCAATTATTTTTGATACGTTCGTAGTCGTCCCTAAACACCCGAGCACCTGAGCACGTGCCGAGTATAGCGATGCTCACGTTGAATTTGTGTACCACTCGGACGGCTTAAAGTGACCAAATGCTAACGGAGTGAACCTGATCCCCGTTGAGAACGAGTTTACGCTCACGATATTCGACACGAACGTGCACACAGTGGCGTAATACTATAGCGGTGGATTCGACAGAGTGAGACTTTGCTCTCCCCTCCCCCTTCCCGTCCCCATATCGAGTGGCCGCGCAAAAGACAAGCGATAAAAAGCGGCTAAATTTTGTTTTTTCCCCGCAATATTTTTACAATCAACGTCTACGGAAAAAACAAAAGGAAATTTAAGGGCACGGCAAACAGGCACCCCATCGGACGGTTCGGGGCTGTTTAAATTTGTTTGCGAGTGGACCACGGTTTGTATTCGTCTTGAAGGCGCCCGAGCGTACACGTTTATCAACACATGTTCCTCGTAACCGTTCAGATTTCACGGAAAACCGCCCGCCCGCCTTATGAAATTCCGAAGCAGCCCGTTAGCTTGTGAGAACCGCGGTTCGCTACGCCACTGAATTAATAATAACAGTTGCGGCACCGGAGTGCCGTCGGCTCACCGCTCTTTCCGACGCCGGGAGCGCCCAGAACGGCTATCTTGACCTCGGTCAGCGACGACTTTTTGCGGCGGATACCCCGGATGGGATTCGACGACATTGCGGCGGTGCGGCGTCCGTAGCGGCACACTGCGCGCGCGGCGATCAAAACGACGGCGGCGGCGGCGGCGACGGGCCGACGGACGACGGTCTTCGGGCGGAACGGACGCGGCGGCCGATTCGACTACGGCACATGACGACGGTGACGACGATTATTAACGACGAGCCCCGTCAGCGCGTCGTCGATCGTCGCGATGCCGTGCGCGGGTGTCGTGCGGTTTGCGCGGCGCGGATAATAATACAATTTCAACGCGAATAACGACGACGTCCACACGCGGGACCGAGGGAGTGACTGGCCGGCGGATACTCGCGGGATATAATATTATAATATCGTGTTATAATAATAATATTATTATCGTCTACGGCCGCACGCAGACGGACGCGCGTATACGGCTCGCGAAACGCGTCTAAAAATAAAACGCGGCGGCCGCCGCCGCAGGGCTGTGCGCGCGCGCCGCCGTACAGCGTGTACTTTAACGACGTGACGGACGCGCGATCATTATCTTCGCCACGCCGCCGCCGGAATAAAAATAATATAATAATAGTATAATTTCATTGTTTTGTTGATAATGCGACGGGCCGGCCGTTTTTGGAAGCGCGTTATTTTCGTCGGTATGCAGGCGCGGCGGTCAGCTCGTCGTCCGCCGCGCACCGCCTCCGCCGCCGCCGCCGCCGCCGCCGCCGTCTTCGGCTAGCGGATAGGAAAACAACAAAAAAAAAAAGATACGGACATACTTCGCGCGACGGGCGGGCCGCCGTTACTGTTGTATAGACGGAAAGTCGGTAACGAACGATATGGAGAGGAAATTCAGTGTGTATATCTGTGCGCAACGATTAATCTTTGGTAACGAAAAACGATTCTGAACGGTTATGCATGTTTCGAAAGACCGCCGCAATGATTACGATTTGAAAATAATTTACCTACATTCATCCGTTTTTACCCGTTTATTATGAAAACAGCTGGGAAAATCAAAAAAATGACTTCCCTACAGCACCGCCCCGGTCGGATTTCCTTTCAGAAAAAGTGCTATACTTGAAAATCGGAGCAAAATTGCTGGTAGAAAAGTTGTTCGCAGGAAAGAAAAAAATAAACATCATTGTAAAACCAAACTTAAACCGTGAGGAAGGAGAGTGATAAAAAAAAAAGCCAATGCCTATCTAGCCTAAATAGTAACGATTTTAGATGCTGCGAGGAACGTATCGGTTTCACAACTTTTCTACCGGCTTGTTCCACGGTTATGCGACTTTAAGGAATGGTTTCCGGTAGCGAATTTTATTTAGTCGGTGCGTCGGGAAGGTCGTGTTTCAGTGACATACCCTGGGGGAAGGTTTTGGGGGCTTAAGGCCCCCCTCTCCATTGGCCGTGTAAAATACAATCAAATAATAATGCCTATAAAATATTCATCATTGAACAATTATCTATTATATACAAATTATGAAATAATTGATATTGGCTTTTTGTACGGTCTACAATTTGATTACGATCCGGATGACACTTTGTGTACTTGACATTCAAAACAAAAGATGGATCGTTGTCTACATTTTACACGGAGTTTTCGGTATTTTCGGAACAAAAACTGACCTTATTTTGTTGATTTATGTGTTAACTTGGCAACACACATGTGAATACAGTTATTATTTATTTTATACGATTCTCACAGACAAGGAAGTTCCTTTTTTAAAAAGATAAATTAGCGTGCAACAACTGTGATAGGTGTAAAAGTGAATCCGAGAAATATCAGGTAATTCAGTTATTTGACAATAAAAAAAAAAAAAAAAAAAAATCATTACTTATTACTACTATTTATTCCGCCAAGTATCAATAATTAACTGTACGTAGTAGTTTATTTTCGTTTTATTTGACGAAAATCGTAAAATGTACAATGCAATAAATTGCGATCTTCATCAGGTTTCCACCACAAAGGAAAGAACAAGCATACCATATTTTACCATTCGACTACAACTATGTTCTGAATATATACATACATAGAACATAGGTAAGCGTATTATACTACCAGAAAATCAAAATTGATACCAGAAAACGGTCGGAGCAAGATTTATGGTAGAAAATTTGTAAACGGACAAAAAAGTTTATAACGAATATTATACTCGTTCAGACGTGCACGTCTTGTTCTTTTATCGTATCTCCTCTTGTGCTGCCAAATTTAATTAGTTTGGAATTTCTAAAAATAAATAGGATACCGTGGCGTTGTTGTATGTCTCTGTTGTCTCGACTGATATATACGTTTAAAACTTTACTCGTCAATATTATTTTTACGACCGTATACACGCGTGTTATTAATATCGTGTGTCTGAAATATACGACCAATTAGAACAAGCTCAGTTACCCTGGCACCCGACTATAAAATTTCGACTTCAAAATTATGTCACGAAATAGTTAATAATTGTTTGTTATTTGTTACTCAAAATTCAAAATCTGTTATCCTATTTTAACCCCCTAAAACTCCAACCAACACCCGCATTAGTCAAAATGGACTTATACGAAATAATTTTTTATTATTTGTTACCCTAAATTCAGGCTGTTATCTCATTTTAGTTGTAGATATTGAGATTTATGTACATTTAAAAAGCAAAATGGACATACTTGGCACATTTGGTTGAACACTATTGTAAGTGAGAAGTTGGAAGGTAGAGGAGAAATTTAATGTATATAAATACGCGAAACTTAATCTTAGCTAACGAAAATCGATTCTGAGTGAAGTTTAGTTACACATGTTTTGAAAGGCCGTAATGTTTACGATTTTAAAATAATAAATTTCGTAAGTTTTCCCGTTTCCCTACATTTTTTCCCCTGTTTTTCCCATTTATCATGAAATTTCTTGGGAAAATAAAAAAAAAAAAAAAAATGACTTCCTAAAAGTATTACCCCTGTCAAATTCCCGTTGAGGAAAGGTGATTAAGACAATTAGATTAAAATCTCTGCTATAAAAGTTGTTTATAGACAAAAAAAACAAACATCATTGTAAAACCAATACATTTCTCCCTTCACTTAGAATCTAAAATGTTTTAACAAAAATTATTAGTTGTCTTTTTTTTAAATTTTTAGTATAATAGTAAATGTTTTACAACATATGCAATTTATCGTCCAGAATAAAAATACGGTATTGAAAGGTGTAAAATAAGGTTACAAGTCCCGAAATTTGCGGTAAATTAATACAAAACTATCACCTAGCTATGATTAAAATTAGAGACGGGAACTCTAGAAGCACGGGGCTTTAAGTACACATCATTCACCGCCTTCTAGCAGGTTCTGTCCATACATTCTTATATTTGCTCTTTAATGACCCTGTGCACATTCTCCTTAAGGAGTAAATTCACCCGACACGCTCAACCGCATGCTCAATCTTAAATTCTCGTTTCTGCTACTTCCAAATCTTTATTTAATATCTTTCATTCTTCAATGCCCAACACTCAGGTTTCAACGACTTTTTATATACAATTTCCACTCAATACTCAATCCTGTCGTTTATCTCTCCGATTCAGCTATTGCAAAATAATATTCTAACTAATAGCTTTAAGCTTTCTGGTTACTACACAATTCCTCTACAGTGGACTTGCACAGACTGATGTGTAAACATGTGAACTTTTTGTCTCAATCTATTATGATGTTTGACTCCCAGCCCTATTACTTTTTACCAATCAAACATTTTAAACTGGAAGAATATTTCTCAAATCGGTTTTCTTCTCTACATAGAATGGTTACAGGTGATTACGAAATAAACAAACACAATTTTATAAGTTTAATAATTATATATTATTTTATAAATAATGCAATATTTGATTTGTTTTTACGAACAATAATTTTTTTTTCATCCGTCTATACATATTAAATAATATTATATAGGCGGACATAATATAAGCGAAATAATTAATTTTGTTAAATATAATATAATTTGTTTTTTTTTTTAAATTTTTATAATATATTATACATATGTAAACAGGGATTAAGATAAAAGAAAACGGCTTAACGGCTATAAATAAACTATATATGATAATAATAATAATATATAAAATCGACCTAGGCTCCTCCTGAAGACACTGAGTCGAAGAAACGCGTCGGACGTCCGTTCCACACACGAGACGGACACGAATATTAAACAAACAAAAAAAAAAAGAGATTCTTACAGCTATAAATATAAGAGAACGCGACAACCGTGCACAGAGTGTACACGGGCCGCGTACAATAATAATAATAGAAATAATAATATATTAATAATTTCATTAAATAATATTATAAGAAATAAATTAAGAAAGATAGAGAGAGAGTGAGAGAGAGAGAGAAAGTATACGATTCGCGTAATACTATAATATAATGTACAGGGTGAAACTGCGCGTAACCCGGACGGCGGACCCGTAAAACCGTACGCTGCCCGAAATGCGATGGTCCAAAACGCAAACGGACCCGAGAGTCGTACGGCCCCGCCGCCCCGGACGATGATACGCGCGCGCGTCAGTGGTGTACAGTATGTTATGATATGGACGCAGATAATATATTGTATGCACTAATAATATTATATTATAGAGGGTGTACGACGAAGGTGTATACCTAATAATAATAATAATAATAATAATAAAATAAAATATATTATAATAAATCTGTGTGAATGGGGCGCACACGTCCCGGCGGCGACTAGGGGTCGCGGAGGGGGTGCGGTTTATGAGCGGCGGCGAAACGTGCAATAAATAATAATAATAATAGAAAAAAAAAAAAAAAAATAAAAATACTATTTTTTCGAAAGTATTATTACCACGAGCGAAGTAATATATATATATAATATGTAAGTATAAATAGAGATCTTGCCGGTATAGAAAAGACAAAAAAAAAAAAAAAAAAAAAAAAAAAAATACAAATAAAAATCGTCCCGTCGTCCCTAAAACCGGTGACTAGAAACACGCCGAAGACATCACACGCATTGACACAATATTATTGTTGTTGTATTACCCGCGATAATAATATTACACGACGCGCGGGTAATAATTACTATATAAATTAATTACGCATTATGTATAATGAAATGATATTACGATAGTATAGTTTAAATAGGTTCTTTAAAAAAAAAAAAAAACCCCGCGGTGCAGTAGGAAAGTGTATATAGGTAATTATAATAACGAATGTACATGCGCGTGGGCCCGGGAGAATTTTTAGTCGTCGGCATTTTAACCGGATCTCATTTTCAACTTGTTCAGCGCGGTGTTCAAGTGTAACATTTCCAAGTTCAACTGCGTCATCAGACCGTTGAGCTGATCGACTGAGTCCAGGATCTCGGCCCGTTGGGTGTGCGGGTTGTACCGGACCTCGAACGGTCGGGACATGGTCGAAACCCATTTCCTGTGCGGATAAATAAAAAAACGTCGCGATACATTAACATATCGTTTATATACCAAACGTATACGGCCCGCAAGTAACCGGCGTTATTACTATCAGTGTCGTAATATTGTACCTGAACTTGTCCTTGGCGTCTTCGAAACTCTCGGCGACGAAATAGATGGGCTGGTACTCTTGGTCTTGGTACGGTTGGACCGCGGTGATGGACGGCTCGAACGGTCTGAGTTCGGGTTTGTCGGAGACGGCGTGCAACAGTTCTCCGTAGGCGGACAGCAGTCCGGCGCCGTAGGCCTTTACTTCGCCGTGTTCCTTGCACAAACCGAACTCGACCGTGAACCAGTAGACGGTCGACAGCTTTTCGATTTCTTCGTCGGAAGCGCCCAGCGACGCCAAACCGAGTTCTTGCGAGAACTGAGCGAAACTCGGGTCGGCCAACAGGGGCATGTGCCCGAGAACTTCGTGAATGTAATCCCTGTAGTAAGTACGAGTAAGTAAATAAGTAAGTATACTATAACGATTTCCCGCGAAACGCCGCCGCGTACGCGTATATTATTAACAATTTATTATCGCCGGCACCGGTACATTATTATTATGAGCGATCCTATACATTATCGTTTCCGTTCATAACCCAATCATAAAACGTATAGGTACTCTAATAGTATTACGACCGTGTAACGGGGCAATCTGTATAATATTATATTATTACATTATAAAAGCGATGTTAAACTCGTGTACTTAATCGAATCACCGGCGCCCCTTTATATAGGTATTTAGGTAGGTACGAACAAAAAAGGTTTATTTCCACCCTCATTTCACCATCCTGTCACCACGCCGCCATTTTAGAATCGAGTAAAACGCCAGGACCCGGAAAGGAAATTGTCTTTTACCCGTCGTAATCGGCTTGTCGACTTTGTCCCGTTCAATTTGTCCCGAAGAGATTTATGTAATTCGATATCGCCATAGTATAAATATTATTATTATTATATTATGTTCTAATAATAATTTCGATTTAAATTCGCTTTGGTTCGTATTATTATATTATCAGGTACATAGTCGATAAATTACAATTCAACCGATCGCGAGAATACCATGCACTTACGGCGAAGGGCAGTGAAAAATGCATCCCATAATAAAGCCTCTCGTATCTATACATTAATGGGCAACGCATTTAGGAAATCTTTGGTAACAACGACACTACTGTACACTGGCAATTACCTAACTTAATATTTGCGTTGGACACTTACGGTTCGGGAGTGTGGAAAGGAGAAGTCTTGTGCCGGATGTATTGGGTGCTCTGGAACACGCGGAACGCGAGGCTGGCGAGGAAGTCACGGGCGGTCAACAGACCGGCGGCCGGGCGGAGGGTGAAACCGGTGTGTTTCTTCAGGAAGTCGGACATCTCGTACAATTGCGGGATCTTTTCTGCGGTAAAGATGCCGTCGTCCTGCAACATCTTGAAAGCGTTCCTGTACTCCATGCAAAAGTGTTTAGGCATCAAGTCCAAAACGTTGTTGAACACAGCGGTCCATGTGCCCACCTCTTCGGCGGTGTAGTCGATTTTCGGGATCAAGTCGCCGCTGTGTATGCGAAAAATAGTATTTTCATTTTATAGGCATTAATTAAGTGAGCAAATAGACCTAGCTGCAGTATCCTTACAATTTATAATTGAAAGCGATGTTGGCGATATCCTTCCTGCGGGCTCTGTAAACCTTGTCGGAGAATCCGGGATGGTTCATGTCCAGTTCCGGTTCATATTTGGTCATCAGGTGATTGCAGTTGTCCAGCTCGCGAGCGTGTCTCGGGAACCACGGGTTCTTGACGTTTACGTTGTCTTCGGCCAGAATCTCGATGTTAGCCAATGTGGAACTTTGTCTGAGCGTCTTCATCAGTGCCAACAGGTCTTTCCTGGTCATGTCCACTTTGGCCAAAACGTCGAATTGAACGCCTTGTTCCTTCGACGGTCTCGATTCCAAGTGAACGACGTTGCCTTTTCCATTCTGCAGTAAAACAACACGCGACGATTATAATAATCGTTTATGCACGTGAAAATATACGAACGGCATAATAATATTATTTATATATATCGACGTACCTCGATTACTTTAAGTACACGGGCGAGAGAGTTGATGCCTTCGCGCAGACGCAACACAAGAGTGGCCCTTTGCACGGCCATCTCGGCGTCTTTGTCTTGGCTGGCTGCTTTTTCCAAAAGCACCTCTTCCTCCGTGAGTCCGGCATCTGCGGGCACACGTGACGGAGATTTAATATTATTGAAACGCCTTAGTCTCTGATGTGCGCGGCCGGAAACGCGATAATAGGATCCCGGTCATGGAGGTACAAAATCTATAGGTATGCATCGTACAGAGGAGACGAACGACCGAGCGCAATTTCCGTCGACGGCTATAAAGTGCCGTTCCGGTCTTTTCTTTTGCCGATGCCCGTCCGACCGTAATATACTACCGAGTACTTATATTATACTTAGCCGGCGGGCAATTTATGATTATTATTGTCGCGTCAAAGGACGAGGAATTATTGATAAAAGCCCCCCCCCCCCGGAGCCGTTTTCGCGGGAAATTCCCCGCCGCGGCGAGAGTGCCGCTAAACCGGCAGTGAAACGGGGAGCGGAGACGGTATTATAGACGGGAGGATCGAGGGCGAAATGGGAATCGGAGAATATTGGAAATATCGGCGCGTAAAATACGTAATCGAATCGTAATACTGAATAATATGAAATAGCAAAAATAATAATAATGTAGACATTTACCTGAGTCATCGTTGTCGGACGACGGTTCGGACGATTCGGACGATTCTATTTCTATATTAAACGGGAAAAAAAAAAAAAAAAATAAGCCATATAAAAACAAAACTACAATAAATCGTGCGGCAATAACAGGCGAAAAAATATTCTAAACGATAATGATCGCAAAAACAAAAAAAGACCAAATACAATTTATCATTATTACCGTTATCGTCGTGATGGTGTCCGTTGAGTTTCTGATCTTCGAAATCGTCGTACTGACCGTTAACTAACAAATAATAAAATACAATATACGAATGAAAAATACAATCCATGCAAAAAAAAAATTCTAATAAAAACATAAAAAAAAAAAAAATTACGAAAACGTTTGTACGCCAATACGGGTGACCGTGTTATAATATACTTTTGTCGCAGTACACTGCGATGTCGCCCGTCATCTCTAGCGACGCGGCGCCGTCAATATTATTCGCACCGTTACCGGGGTGTGCTTATTCGTCGAGTATCCCGCGACCGGCGTGCCGTCCAGAAATTGCGTTGTTTACCCTGCGGACGCGTACGGTGCGCGGTATTCAAATAGCGCGGTGAGTATGATAACGCGTGCCCGTGCGCCAAGTTACGCGTGAGTATTGTTGCAACGCACGATTACGCAAAACCCGTGTGGGTCGTAATTATCGTATTATTGTGCGCGTGCGTTTGTCTCCCGACCTTCGAAACGCATTGAAAACCGATAAGACCGCCTATACAAACGCGTTACCCACGAAAACACAATAATTTAATTTTAAACTGGTTTTATTTATTGTATTAAATAAATATATGTGTATGCATATATATATATTTTTTTTTTTTTCTGTAACCGTAACGCGTTTTATAATAATAATATTGTCTTCATAACGCAATCGCGTAACGACTACAATAATATAGTTATAATGGTATCCGTAATAATAACACGCAGCCAATTAGATACCCCGTACACGTTTTAACTGCTTTGCTTACGAACACGGCCACTGTAGTCCGGATTCGTAAAACCCAGTGGTAAACGGGTAATTGATGCAAACGATATCCATTACAATATCATAACAGTTTGTTAACGAAACCCAATTAACGCCCGCGCACACAATCACGATAATCGCGTAATCGATTCATATACATATATATATATATATATTCGTTGGCGTATTATTCACATGCTAGCGCGAGCACGAAAAATTGGGATTTTTGAAAAAGAAAAAAAAAATAATAAACCACCTCGGATAAAGTACGTGAAACCGTGCAAAAGCCGCGCGGCTCTACGACGAAGCGAATCCTTTCGCGCAACGCTACAGCTGTTACGGCAACAGCTTTGCCCGAGGGCGATATTATCGGGATGAACGTTTCGGTTCGCGGGCACCGCATATCGCATGCAACGCAGGCGATACCGCACGCGATATCCCAGTCGACCGTGCTGCAATATCACCGATCCCGAATAAGTATAATAATACTATAGCGCCAAAGTCTCCGGACGGTCCGGTCGAGCGGTTTCGCGCGTCCGTGACGGCCAACGAAGGCGAACGTTATCGTAACCGGAACGTCGTCGTCACTTACTTCGGGGGCGGCTTTGTTGGATCCGGCTGGCGAAATGCGCCACGGCCGCGTCCGTGGCTAACGAAGCCGAAGAAGCGTCCAAAAGCCACAGGCAACACATCGCGGTCGTCTTACCGTTGTCCGTTACGTACATGGCGTCGTCGGTCGGGTGCGTAAAACCGCCGATAATATTATTATAATAACGTAACGAAACTGTAATTGATTATGTCCGCGGATCGAGGGAGACACGGCCGAATCGCTGCAAAGACGACGGGAGCACGCCGTGGCGCGACGGTTCGAACTCGGTGCGGATGTGCGCGTTGTGGGTCGACGGCGGAATGGGTACATATTGCTCGCGGTGTTCGCGACGATTATAGTGCCATCGCGAAAACCCCCGCGAACGGACATCTTGAATGTCAACAACAATCCGTTTGAAATAATTCAACGGCGGCGGCGGCGGCGAAGACGCGTAGACAGCGCAATAACAACACGGTGACACGTCGACGGTCATCGTCGCGTGCGTGAAAGTTCGGCCGGCCGCCGCCGATGGCTCGGAAGCGGTGGCCGCGTACCGGTAATACGTGCCCGGGACAGACCGCGCCGTTTGCGAACCACAGCCGCCGCGTTATTTCCTTTTTAATTGAGTTATTACGGCGTTGATCTTGGAAGTCGGAAACGCCGGCGCGTGACGTGTCGACGGCCGCCAAGGACGGCGACGTCCGCCGAAACCCGTTTCCGCCGCCACCGGAGATACCCGCGAACCCACCGATTGCCTATCCTTTCCCGCCCGCTCTCCCCTCCCCTCCCCCGAAAAAAAAACCCACTAATTATTTCCGGTATATACTAACCATTGGCCAATTGACGGGCTTCCTCCAAAACGGATTGTTTCGTCTGCTTGACGACGATCGTCTCGAATCTGGCGTCGTCCACCAACGAACGTCTCCTCGCCGGATATCCGTTCTGAAAATAAATCGAAAACAAAAAAAAAATAAAAACGGTTATTATTGAGAACGTAAGAGAATAAAACAAAGTAGAAAATTCGGGCGTGAACGCGTATTGAAAATCCGGCTTTCGGATACAAAACCGTCGTTACTATAATAATATACCAATATACCGTTGTCGTTGTGATCGTGAAACGTTTCCGAAAAATTCGGGTACCGAGGAAAAAGTGTTTTTACAAAAGTGTTTTCGCCGTAACCGTAACTACAAACGCTCGGAATCGTGGGAGGGGGGGGGGGAAAAACAACGTGCCGGGGGCTGGTCGTCGGGTAATTGCCGTCGTCTATAGAATAGTTAATCGACGATTAGGCGACTATTTATTCTAACAGGTATCTGGCGTGTACTTTGAAGTCCGGGGAGCAAGAGGGGGGGGGGAGGGGGACTTACAATGCGTCGTCGAATTCTTTCACTTTTCACGACATACCGTTATGCGCTGTGCGTCGTGTCGTGTAATATAATAATAATAATAATAATAATAATAACATAACATATTATAATATTATCGACGACGTGCGTACAATACAGCAGGCTTATTATTATTGTACGTAACGCGGGTGTCGGAATCGCCTTGAAAACTTCCCCCGGGAGAGCGTTTACCCGCACACGACAATGTTGACGATGCATAGACGCGAGGACGCGGCGGGTAAGCAAGTGCGTAGGTATCGAAACAGATAAATAAATAAATATATATATATTATATACGTATTATGTATACAGGGTGATTGTCGGCGGTTTAGCGGAAGATTTTCCGGAAAATTCGATTTCCGTTGTTTTTCGTTCGAATCGTTACGTAATACACGGAATAATATCGTTTACACGTGATATTTATTTCCTATTAAAATACCTATAGATTGTGTCAGAAATCATAAACAAATCAGTCGTTTGAAAATTAATAACGAAATAATGTATACGGCTAAGCTAATTCTGTTAATTCGGTGCGATTCGGGGAGCTGTACGCTAACTATTCGATTTTCGCCACCCCGAATTAATTTTGAACGAGTGCGTCACTACAGCGGCTCGCGATAGCAAAATCGCCCCGTATGTGTAATATTGTTCGTAACAAATATACAAACAAACAACGAAATATGGAGAGAAAAAAAAATAAAAATATTTTGCGAAAAGTCACGTAAATTATCTCGCGTACATTATAAAAACAACAATAGTTGAAGTACACCGCGGCGTGCGGTTGACGTATCAGCTGCAGTTTGGATGACGTGGATTAATAATAATGATAATATAATAATAATAATAATAATTACCTACTCGGCTCGGTGTCAGAATTTAATTCGAAAACCGTGTCGAAAACAGAGACAAGTATGTTATAAAGTGTTGTTGTCATGATAGTGTCGGGGGGGAGACGGAGGAAGGGGGGTCCGCAGAGGTCGAAAAAAAGTTTGACATTATTATCGTTATTTCGCCACCGCCGTCGTCGTTGTGTATATAAAAATATATAAGTAAACAGTGTTTTTTTTTTTTTGGTTTTTTATTTTGCCGATTTGATGCGATAAAAACGCCCGGAAAAAAAAAATTACCCACCGCGGCGATTTCATTCGGTCACGTACATAATGAAGCGTATAAAAAATCCCGGAGTAAAAAAAAAAAAAACGTATTGTGACGACTGCTATATACTCGGGTAAATCCGGAAAAATCGTTTTACTCTTGACTTGCCATCAGCTACGGTTTTTTTTTTATTCTCTCTGTAAGCCCACGCGCAGCTTTTCTCTCTCGCTGTATAATATTATGTAATACGACAATGACGATATAATAAATGGGCCGGGGTACGGGAGATTCGCTTATAATAAATGTAAGTTTCGTCGCTCGTTTGCGATTTTCAAGGGTGAAATTGATAATTATGCAATGACCGCGATAGTACGTAAAAATGTTGTTATATAGTCGGAAGTGTTTTTTTTTTTTCATAGGAAATAGAGAAAACGAGTATTGCCGTCGTTAAGACGCTTTGAATCGAGCGAAAAAACAACGAAACGAATTCTCGATAATAAATTGTTTTTAAAAAAAAACCACAAAAATCGTTGAAAATTCAAGTCGGATTATTATATCGACAGCTTTCCGCGTCGAATAACATTATCAAAAATATTATCGATTTTTTTTATATTATAATTGATGAAAAAAAGAAAAAAAACAACTCGAGGCTAGTTGTGAATTTTATTTATATGGCGCGCAGTTATCAGGAGTCGTAAAAGTCAACTGTTTCACAAAAAAAAAAAAAAATTATTAGCTCGCCTCTGCAAAAGGCCATCATCGCGCCGATCGGCCTCGAAGCGATAATAGTAAAATCTTGATTTTCGAATATACCGCGGCGGAGATACCTACATACACGCCGCCCTTGTGACTTTTTCGTCGTGCGGGAGGGGGGGGGGGGGCGGAAGAGGAGGAGAAAACACTAAAGATTTTAGGTCAATGACGTAGTCGGTGTGTACGTGTACTTTTCATTATTATTATTATGTTTTTTTTTTTCTTGTACATCGACGGACGAATGGAAATGAAAAAAAAAAAAAAAACAAAACAAAAAGCGAAATATTGTTATTATTACGGCTCACCCGATAATATAACAATTTATCATTAAAATTAATTAAATAATTAGCGGCCGAAACGTTGTTTGTGTGCGCGCGCGCGAGCCCATCGTCCGCGGCACACGGCCGTTTCTGCTGTTTAATTGTAATCGTTTCTTTAGCGGGTTTTTTTCTCGCCCGACAACCGTCGTCGATAACGATATTTACGTATCGTTAAACACTCATCGTCCGGTGGTTCGCCTTGACCTAGCTGCGGCAGCAACGGGGCAATAATCGGCTGCGCGGTCAGCCGGACAGAAACGGGGGGGGGGGGCGTTGCCGGACAGTTTTCCGCGGCGAAAGCGTCGGAAGGCAAGCCCCCCCCTCCTTACCCCGTGTTACCCACCCCATAGCCCCGGCGGCGAGGCAAAACCGAACGAGAAAACCGAAAAAGAGGGGGGTGGGGGGTGAGGAAAAAAACCGAAAGCGAACGGCCCGCGTTACGCGTAAACGGATTAGCGGAAGTGAAAACAGTGTTGTCGGTCACGTCTGCCGCGGTCGTCGATACGACAACGAATGTCACATTACGAAAAACGGACGAAATGGCGTAATCGTTTATCGCAACACCCGATCGAATATTATTTGTCGTACAGCCGGCTGGGTGCGTGTACACTGCGTCACGGTCGTAGGCCCCCGGTTAGCGCGGCGAAATCCGGGGTTGATCGAACGAGATGCAAAAAAAAAAAAAAACCGATCGAAATATGGTTGGAAAATATTTCCCGGTGAAAATCCGAATTTGTCCGTCGTCGCCCCACCCCCTCTCTTCCTCCACTACCTCCCCGCACCCTTAACCCGCTCCGGCGGATCGTACCGCGAAGACGGTGTCACCGTGTGTACGGGGAGTCGAATTCGATTGACGCGGTCGTCTTCGTGTACGGGTAGCGGTTGAAACCGGGCCGACAATGAAAACAAGAAAAATACGAACGATTTATTTACCGAAATGCGTTTCGAAAAAAAAACCGCACGCGTTACATAACGTATAGTTTTAATATTATAATAAGTGGATCAAACCGTACGCGGATTTATGCGGAAACGGGAAAAATCCAAGGACCCAGACGCGCGTAGACAAGGTTGAAAGGGAGAGGTTGTCGGTTTATTGTATTTTTTATTATTATTATTATTATTTTTTTTTTTTCTCTAATAATTCTGCTATCACGCGGAGAATGTTAACGCGATACCTGCTGCTGGTGCCGCCGCCGTTGCCGGTCGGTAAAGACAATCGAAACGATTTTTTTTCTCTACATTCCGACTATGTAATATGGGATTTTCATCCGAGAGACCTTCGGCGGAAGAAAAAAAAAATAAAAAAACAATAATAATAATAAATAATTACAATCCGAAACGTCGATAGTATAATTTCCCCATATAATATTATATTATAATACACCCGTGCACCGATATTATATTATATTCCATTAAAGTGATATTATCGTGGAAAAAAAAAAAAGACATTGCGCAACTGCGGCGATAGAAAAACATAGAGAAAAAAAAGCGTATGCGTAAAGAAAAATAATAATTATTGGTACGCCAGCATAGTCTCCGGTGACTTGAACGCGGCTCTGCGGCGGCGACGACGCGCAGGTCGAGAGAATTATTAGTTTTTTTTAGTGCCCAGAAGTTTGCATACACAAAACGCCGTCTTACGGGTTCCGTTTCGGTTCTTTTTTTTTTTTTTTTGTCCGGGGGTAATTCGCGCGCGTGTCTACTGCAATTATTATTATTATTGTTATTACATAATTATTATTGTAATCGTTTTTTTTTTTTTTTTTTTTTCGGAATCCCGGAAAACGAAAAATATCATCAGGACGTATCCCGAGCGTGAGTCGTTTACGCGTATTGGAATTAATTAAAATTAATGTAATCGTAATAATTGTAATACACAACAATATGCAACGCGGCGTCTGGTACGTATATAAAAAAAAAATAATAATAAAAAATAATTAAGTGGCGATATCATGCCAATCGCGCTGTTATAATGCATGGGTAATCCGCCTTCCTAATACATAGTAGTATTAAAATCTGCGAGCATATCTCCGCGTTTACATATTATTTTATCAAGGCGACTCGAACCGGTAAGCAGTTTTTTTTTCCGATTTAATTTCGAAACGATAAAAAAAAAAAACAAAAAAAATTAAATTGAAAAAAAAATCGCGTACAAATTAATTTATCGTAAAATCGCACGTATCAATAAAATATAGTAATCGGTGTTTTTATTTTTTATTTATTTTTTTTTTTACATTTTTTTTTTTCTTTCATTAAATTATCCGACAAATAGGAAGACGACAGACAACCTGTTGTCGGCCGTCCCGGAAACAAAAACTACTACGAGACGACGATGGTATTATTATTATTTTTTTTTTACATAAAAACGGAAGTTACCTCGATGCTGTAGGTCTTGTTGATGGCGAACATCTCTCGGCTCTTCTGGGCTGCTGCTACTGCCATTGTGCTCGGTTGACGTTGATGTGGTAACGGATTGACGGACTTGCCGAACGTGTGCAACAAAAGGCCGAAAGCTCCAAACTCCAGTGTGGAAAGCAAAAGAAAAGCGAGCGGACTTGCTGAACGGCGGTGCACGTTAAGTAACGGTGAAAATCGGATTTGTACGTGTGATGGTACGCGGGTCGACAACTTGTCTAGTTTCGTTTATTTTTTGGCGGGTTTTTCTTGCGAAAAACTCTGCTGCGGACGAGAGTCGCAATATAGACGTCGGGCGGTTTTCGTGAAAACTCGGCTGCGCTACTAGACTTCCTCTCGAAAATCGACAACAGACGCGGGACGGCGATTTATACAAGTATTCGCTGGTAATACCGGTGGTATACGGTCTACGGCGGACTACGAATGCGTTTCGGACGGTCGCTGGTGTCCCGGTTTTAGGACTTCTCGGACTTCGCTGGACGGCTGAGTCAGAAAATGTGTAGATCCTCTATTTGTCGCTATGGTCGCGGCGGAGCGTTGCCCGAAACAATTACAAGTATGTTTACGTCGACCGCGTCACACGTGCACTCGGATACGATGCGAATGAAAAGACAACCCCGTATCGGCGCGCGGCTCCTTATAAAAGGGACGTCGGCCGCCGTCGCCGCGGCTTTTCCCCCCACGCGCGCGCACTCAAACACACACGTGAGCAAGCACGCGCGCGCGCGCCGCCGCCGCCGCCGCCGCCGCGCTCACGATTTCCCCACGCCACGCCGCCGCGGACGCCCGCGGCCACCCCGGACGGCCGACGGGAATTTCCACGGCGAGTCTACCGCCCGCTCGCCCGCCCCACCGAGTCTACCGTCCGCCACACCCTGCGCGCGCGATGCTGATAACCTTACGCGCGTATGCCCGACCGAACGGTCTAGGTATACGCCGGCATACCGGTGCGTTACTATCTCCGTCCAGTATACACAACAGTCATAATAATCATAATAACAATAACAATTAATAATAGTATAACATTTTCGCGCACTGCATCACCGTCGTCGCGATCGCGATACTTGCATCAATGACGTTTTCGTGTCCGTCTCCGCGGCAGTGTCCCGCGCGAACGGTCGCCGAACACTCGAAACAATACTTTAATGCCGTCGTCGTTTTCGCATAGGGCTCGGATTTCAAACGTAAACGCGCACGTGCATCGTATTCGCGCTGCTACTCGATAAGTTAATATTTGGGTAAGTGATCAAAATCGGTTTCGCGCGGTTCTCAGCAATAAGTATAGTATTTTTTTTTCTTCCGTTTTTCGGGTTCGATTCGCGGGTATTTCTTTTTCTTTTTTTTCTCCCCCGATAATTCCGGTTTTTCTCGCATACATTTCGACAATACACTCGAACTGAACACGACAATACATTTTTCAACTTGTACGCACTTTCAATGTCTAAAGTTAAACAAATCGCATTTAAAATACACATCATATCCATTGTATTCAAGACGATAATTGTTATAAAAAAAAAATGTATAATAATAATAATAAATTACGATTATTATAATTATTTTAAACAAATCCGTATGTATTTTTTAATGTTTATACGATACTGTAATGTACCTACCGGTTTTTTAATATATTCGTTTTTCAATGTAATAGTATCCGTGAGGCCATCAAATTTATTAGTTTAATTATATTCACGCGTATTACTGTTCGCTAATATCAGTATCAGTTATCACTTATCACCGTTATTGTAGTGTATTACGTATATTGAGATATTTAGCGCATATTCATGTACGTATACACGTTGTACACATTTTATAGTACACGGCGCGTAAACAGGTCCGAGTCCTTATAACTATTCGTTTTATACGATTCGCCACGATAATAATTTTTTTTTTCTCCAATCTGCATAATAAAATATCTTATCTAGCTAATTTTTGTTTTCAATTTTTTTTTTTTTTCTCAACCATGTGTTTATCACAATTTTATTTCAATTTATCGTTTCGAAAACTAATTACCGTGAAACGTGCGAAATATTGAACGAATATAATACAATATAAAATCTCGCATTAATCACATCCGCATTATAGTGTTGCGGCTATTACTGTTTGTTTTGTCAACGATGATGTACGACATTATAGGGTTGTGCACTGCGCGGTCGTAAATTTCGAGTGTCGTAAGCGATCGTTTTTTTTTTTTTTTTTTGATTTCATTTCCATTCGATTAATCTCCGTATACATATTAAATGAAAGATCGATTTTTTACGAAAGAAAGTATTATTTTCCAAGTCGGGCGACTTTGTAGGTTTTCGCGTTTGGTTATAATATAGCTGCGTTAATAGCACTTCGAATGAATAATATTATACTCCGGTATAAAATCGCATATATCGCAGTCGAGTTCGTATTTAGATTGCGAATAAAGCCTATTCACTTGTTAATCACAACAGTATATTATGACAACGGGTAACCGAAACGGTTTATATTCATATAATATAGCCGGCCTGTCTTATTCCTATCTATAATTGCTATACACAGATATATGCGAACATAACTGTGCGTAAGGTTAATCATTTTTTCTGTCAATTTTAAATACAGAAAGTTATTTCTTCCGTTTGCTAGATAGTAACAATCGCGGTCAATAACAATAATAATAATAAAAACTATGCGTAGATCGTTGACGACATGCACAATCGCAACCGTTATGATGAGCGCGATCATACAATTATTCGTCGGGGTATTAGTTCATAATTGTATATAGATAAGTAGAATAAATAAGTATGCAAATAAAAAATAATTAAATGAATAAATGCGCGGCCTGGAGTATTGTGATTAGTGTATTACGCGACCGGTTTCGAAATAAAAAAATTCATCATCAGATACATCACAGTCCAAATGTAAAAACACGACTGAATATAAAAAAATTAAACGAAGGAATAGATAGAAAAACATTAAATTATACGAATTGGTCGTTTTACACGGAAATAATTTATTTTAATAGGAGAGAATATTTAAAACGGATTAATAACCCATTTTAAGAAAAATAATTTTAATGGTGTTTTGAACGTACAAACGGATTTTAAAAATAACACCTTATATCAACATATTTCAGCCAAACAATTTATATTTATTAACATATCTATGTCTAACAATAACCCATTTGGGGGTTTTACACCCCTAAAAAAAAAGAAAAAAAAGAGCAACGCAACATTTTAGTGTTATTTATTATTTCTGAAATGTTATAAAAAACGAATTCTGAAAAAAGCCAACACTTCCCGATGTAATGTGTGTGTAGACTTACGTAATATAGATTGACCCCCGCATACAATATAATACGGAATTAATATAGAATTAATATACATCGCCGAATAATGTAAATGTTCCAACAAAATAAATTATTTAATAGCATACAGTTACCCGGAATATAAATTATGTTGAAATTGCATTTTTATATTCAGAATTAATTGTTGTTAATAATTTTCGAATTAAACAATACGGTTATAGTGTTTCGTATTGTTTTAATTGCCTCATCGACGGATCCCCGTGTACTATTATTACCTATACTTCATTAACCAAACGCCAAACTACTCTATTATTTCGGTGTTTTGTTATATATATATATATATATTTTTTTTTTTTTTTTCGTAATCCTGCTAGGTTAGTTAAAATAATTAGTGTTTTGATCATGTCAAATCGTACGGTACATTCATGCGTACACACAGGTACATATTATATTTTGTAGTTATGTTAATATTATTAACACGGTTTCTTAATTTACGAACTCGTGGATACGAACTCGGATATTATTCTGTAAGAATACATTAATAAAATGGATTCGACGGTAAAATCATAGCGTTGCGTATTCTAATCACACTGCTGCAAATCGTTTGTCGAAATGAATATTTTTTACGTTGCGCGTAATGTTATTGTGGCGTGCGTAAAAACTGGTAAAATGAAATGCAGTATTGTTTTACCGAATAAAATATCGAAAATTTCACGTAAGACCAAAAAAAAAAAAAAAAAGAAAATGTTTAATTGTTCTAAAAATTAATCAGAATGTATAATATTGTTTACGGATATTGTATTCGATATGTGTATTGAAAAGGTAAAATTACGAGTGACAAAAAAAAAAAAAAATAAATAAAAACAATATGTATAATAGTAGGTTATGTATACAGGTAATAAGTATAATATATAAAAAATGTGAATAATGTCAACGGCATTGTAGCGATAAATTTGGAAATATGCCAACAATTGCGTTTAATAAATGAGTTTGCATTGAAAACGTTCATACATAATATATACGTAATTAATATTATTTGTGGATACATATTTTCGGGTCTTTTTTTAATTGTCTTAACATAAAAAAAACAATTAAAAAAGTGTTTATAATTATTAAGCCTTTTGAAACTGAAAATTGCCAAAGAGTAAACAGTTTCAATGATTAATAGTATTTAAATTTTAAGGCAATTGGTTCTAAACAGAATCAAATGACTTGAAATAATCGTCGATTTATTCATTTAATAATTTAGGTAACGAGGTAAAATCATAATTATAAAATAATGCCGGAAATAAATATTTTTTTCTATTCTTTCGAAACTATCATAAATTATGCAAGTATATCGTCGCTTGTAAAAGAAAAAAATCATGACTATTGGATTCTAGATAGTTTTATGCTTCCATTATGAGAACAACTGATAGATGAATGAAATCATCCTTGAATCGATAATTTCAAACTTTTTTTTTTTATCGAGCAAAAAATGTATTACATTTACATGAATCGTAAAACCCGTCGATAAATTTAAAATTTAATGTAGTTGTCTGCTTTTGTAATAAATACTAAGTCAAAAAAATCCAAAATATTTCGGAAACTAGACCACGTCTTGGGAACGCTAACGTGGTGTAAATTTTAAGTCTGTGCGGTTATGTATCATTTAATTATAGAGTAAAAAAACAAATCGATTGTATTAAAAACTGATGGGTTTTCAGGCGTTTTCCCTCGTTACTAGGAAAAGTACAAACAATTTCGAAAATACATCCTCCCAAATGCGCTGACCAGACAAAATATACTACCACTCTCCGGAAGTTTTCGATCGGACTAAGTTTATTGGTCGAAAACTTGTTCATGTGGACAGAAAAATAAACAAACGCGCCGTTGTAAAACCATACATTCCTCGCTCCATTCTAAAATTTTTCAAAATCACTTCGGTTTGTCTTTTTGATCATCTTAAATACTAAATTAATGATATACTTAAACTGATACATATATATTATAAATACATGTTCTTCTAGAAAAGTAAAAAAAAAACTAAAAAAGACGGTCATACTTCACACGATGGTGGGCCACTGTTGAAGGTGAGAATTTGGGAAGGTAGGATTTAGAGGGATTTTAATGTATATCTGTACACAACGATTAATAATTGCTAACGAAAAGCGATTCTGAGCGGAGTTCTGTAACACATGTTTTGAAAAGACCGTAATATATTTAAGATTTTCGCCAAAATTTAATATTAAAATTCTTATAAAAAAATTCAACATTACATTAATTTTTTTTTTATCGAAAAGTACGATTTATTACGAACTTCATGTTAAATTTTCAAGCATTTCTGTTTGGTTTAACAATTTTATCCACAGAGTAGGTAACTACCGAATAAAAATTACGTAAAAAACTCGCAAAATGAAAATGTTTAATAGCTCAAAATTAGCGCAAATAATTTGAAAATGTTCCTACGTCTAGAAAAGGCGAATATAAGTTTTCTGTCCAATTTTCAAGTCTCTACAAATATTTTTTTCAATTAAATTACACTAAAAAACTAAATTTAGAATAATAAAAACATTATATTTTTGTAAATTTTCCCGTTGTTTCTCGGTTTTTTCACAATTATTATGCAAAACTAGATAAAATTCTCTTTCAGAAAAATGCTACATTTGATACATCGGAGCAAGATTTTTGGTAGAAATTGCATACACTCTACACAGTATAAAAAAAATTAACATGGTTGTTAAACCACTGCGCACCTTGATTCGATCAGAATCTTAAATTATGAACGCATAGAAATATCAAGTACGTACTGGAAATTCGTCCAGTCGTCTAGTGGTTTTCCCGTGGAAATACCAAACTATTACGATTTACTAATTATAAAAAAATCTCTTTCCGTACCGCAGACGTTAATCGACAGGAATTCTGCCGTCGCCGGTCGATCAGGTTACCCCGCGCGAGATGAGTCATCCAGTGCTGTAAACCAGATCACCTAGTGTGCGGTATCTCCGTCTATCCGTCATGACCAACCGAGAACCTGTTTATTTTTTAAACATTTTCAGTGCATTCCGCGGTACAAACCATCGTTTTTTTTTCCGTCGCCGTCATGGGGTTTTTCGTTTGCCACCGCAAAAAAAAACTTCGACCACACGGGCGAAATCCGAGTTAAAATCGAAAAATCAAATCCTTTAACGAAAGGCAATTTTCAAAATCCAAAATAACCCTCATCAAATCCGATGAAATTTCA